CACAATTTTACTTGTTTATGAAAACAACAAAGGAAGAGTACAAAAGGTTCGGTTTTAACTTCAGCGAAGCTTCTATACCTAGTATTTGATGCCTAGTGTTTCATTTCAACTCTTTTCATGTATATCTTCCATCCACCTTCTGTCTTTTTTCTATACCGTTAATCAATTTTTGTCTAATATATGCTCGGTTGCTTTGATTGACCCCTAGAACTTGTATTTGATAAGCATCTTAATTTATTTTAATTTCATCGGTTTAAGCATCTATATACTTTTCTTTGTATATTTAAAAGTTTTGTTGTCTTAATATAAATGTATATGTGTATGTATTCTTTCGTGAGTTTGCATTGCTAACGTTGTTAAAATTTGAAACTTGGAAGCATGAATTTTTCACTTATGTAAATTATGGTCTCCAAGTTTTTGAATTGGTATATTCAAAATCAATTTTGACAACTTTAAAAGGTTAACTTAGTGATTGAGAAAGTTTGTTCTTCAAATTTTTTTTTAATTTGAATGTTAAGATTAATATTTTTTTAAAAAATATTATTGTTTTTTTAAAACACCAAAAAAATATGAGAGTGCGCTTTTAAAATATTAAAAACATTAATTTTAATTAAAACACAAAATGATCCGAAAATACTTTTACAATCAATATCAATTAAAAAATCCCATCATGACTGATCCTCGAACCAATAATAATCATGTTAATCTATGAATGGGTAAATGGTGGGAACAGAATATGTTGTTCAAACATAGAGTGATGCTACAAATCTCAATCATCAAATCAGTTCACCACTAAACCAATCCACAAAATTATAAATTATACTATTACTATTTGAATGTCTCGCTATATATATTGATTCCATGTGATAAACACAAACATTTAATTAACTTGTACTTTACAATAAATTTTAAAGCACACAATATGTAACTACTAATATTTATTATATTTGTTTATTTTAAATAAAAAGTGCATAAAAAAATAAGTTGTTGATCTAATTGTTAACGAGTTGATTCCCAAATAATTTTTTTATCAATACTGAAAACATATTTTTTAGAAGATATTAAATGTTATCCCTCCCCCTTCGAACATAATTAATTTTATCTTTAATATGAGATGGAGATATCTAAATAAAAGCCTAAAAAAAAAATCATAAATTCAATTTTGTACTCTACTAAATTCCAATGCAAGTGTTTGAAAATAAGGGTATTCCGGAAATATTCTAGAATCCATTAGATCGATTAAAATCAATCTACAATTCTGCATAAATTCCATAGAACAAGAAACACAGGAAAAAACATTCTACCTTTTAAAGAACTGAAAACTAAGATTAATTAAACCTCAATAATTCAATTCATCATCGAAAAGGCCTCCTCAAAATTAATTCAAACAAGTCCTATCCGATTACTCCTTGCATGGGTGGCTACTTGCACTTGAAATTCCACTTTAGCTAGCTTTTGGGACATGAAAATTCAAAGTAGTGGTTGTAAATTTGCATCATTATGTTGCACGTTGAATGTCCTGTTACGTACAATTTCCACAAAAAAAGACAAGTAAAATCACATTGCATGGGTCCTATGTTCTTACAGGACTCGGTCTCAAACGTAACAGTATGGGAAAGGATCCTCTCTTCTGTTTCAACTAACAAAAATCAATCTATCTTATCCAAACTAACCTTTGAAATTAACACTAAAATGCTTTTTAATTGCCCTTTTCTTTGGGGGCATGCATCAGCTATATGAAATGGTTTTTATTCTCTTTTGGGGTTTTGTCATGTGGCTTGACCAGGTTGGAAAATTGTGTTGCTAGTATTTTTAATGGCGGATTATTTGTTAGTCCCTGAGTTTCAATGTGATTATAAACTAGGCCTTTGTGTTTGAATATCTATAATTTAGTCCATCAACTCTTGTTGAGCATTGTCTTATCAAAACATCGATTTTTTCCCCCCTTAATCCCACATCTTCTTAGAGAAAACATCGTATTGGGAGTTCAGAAAAAAAAAAAAAAAAAAAAAAAAAAAAAAAAAACTAATTGGTGTCTTAACTTCAAAGAACCAAAAGACCAAATTATAAATTTTCAAACAAAATACTGAGTTGTAGATTCAATAAAAAAAACCAGGGACTAAAGAATAATTCACTCTATTATTAAGGTTATGTGAAGTGGTAGTTCGACACTTGGGATTTGGTCATAAATGGAAGGTACGACGAGGTTTCGTCGTGTTTCTTTTTCTCCGACCTTCATCCTGTTTTTCATACTCTTCCTTCAATTAATGTTATTCTATCTCTTCGTGATTTGGATAGGCAAAGCGTTTTCTCCTTGCAAGTCAGCTTAGGCAGAAATTCTATAGACTTTGATGTATAATATATAATGCATGGGTAGCTAGTGCACGCCAGTTTTCCTAAACGCACCCACAAATTAAAGCAAGTTAAGCACCCACTAAAAATTAGTATTTTGACCGCCATAATCTCAACAGTAAACAGGCTCAAAGATTTGGTCAAAATATTGATCAAGTCAGCTGCATGCATGATCTTCTTCATCAACAACTTAGTCACATGCATGTGTTTGGGAGAGGACATCAATCACTAAATTGCCTAAAGAGCTGATATTGTTGGTAGCTTTCCAAGTTTAGATCACTAATTAGGAGAGTTGCAATATGTCAAAAAAATTAGCAATCTACGTTTCAATACAGCTGTTTGCCTATGATAGATTGAACACATTATTTCACAATGACCAAGGGGCGGACTTAGATGGAGGAGAACGAGGGCTTAATTTTTTTCAAAATATTCATTTTAGCTCTCATTAGTTTTAATAGTTCAAATTTGCCTTCTTATTTTTTAGACATCTGCCTCTCATATCATCCGAAACTTTCTCTCCGTACCCTTATTTTTTAATCCTAGCTCCGTTCCTCACAATGACACATGCTTATGTGCTAATTTGCTACTCTAAGCCCCTATCATTTGTTTGCTTCGGATGGTACTGATTTCATTAATTTGAACTATTTTTTTTCGTTGGACAAAGTCGAGTTTGTGTGGGAGATTCTAGAAAACACGTCAACAAAAAGTTAGCACATCAGTCAAAGTATCAAGAGCTACTATTGTAATTTATAGAAATAGTAGTGTGTCAATTAAGTAAAATAAATGCAAATAATAAGAGACGTAAGAAGAAGAATTAGCTGTGTTCCCAAAGCACAAGTCAAGTGATAGATGAATGAATGGTTAAAGTCCAAATGGATAGAGTTTTGTGAGTTGTGTGTTGTGATGAGAGTACGAGAGCTTTCAGAGATAGTTCTATTTAGCACAATGTGAGCAAAAGTTAAGCTCTTTCGGAATGATGTGAAATTAGAATTTATAGAAGAACAAGAATTATTCTTGATCGCTAAAATAACACCAAGTCATCTATGTTTGGATAGTAGGATTCAAGCCAAATAGAAAGTGATGGGCTCACAAAGAAAATGGACACCAAGTCATCTATTTATAGAGGAATGAGAATTGTCATTAATCGTCGGGATTGTAGCACGTCATCTATGTTTGGACAATAGGATTTGAATCAAATAACTAAAATAAATAAATAAACTTGGACTCACAAAGAAAATAGGCTATTTGAGTTAAACAATTCCAACTTACTAACAAAAGTTAAAAGAAGTAACAATTAAGTTTTTTTTTTTTTTTTTTTGCAAACTCTACTCCAAACTCACCGGTCCAATTTTCCTACACAACCCAAGCCTCATGCTTGGCAAAACCCATTGCCAATCCAATTTAATTTTCCAAAAGCTTGGAAGCATGCCAAATGAAGTAAACTAACATGAGTAAGTACATAATAAAATTAACTAATTTACTTAATTAATTTTAGAGACACATCGAGCATATACATTTAACCTCTTATACGAACAACTTTGCTAGTAAGAGTATTCGTGCATAGCAAGATCAAGCACATACATATTGATAGTCTAATCATTCTTATTTTCATCATTTAATTTAAACTAACTTAAATTTTAAAATGAAATAACAAAATAATGTTTTAGTTTTTTTATTTAAAACAATTGTCTGTATATATTAATTATAATAAACAATGAAACTTTTTTTTCTTTTTTTTTTTTTTGTCTATCTTTGTTAAAAAGATGTGAAATTTTCTTATATAATATTAGAATCTCAACGGTCAAACGATTAAATCCTACCAACCTTTTTTTTAATTGAATTAAAAAAATTAGCACTTGAAAAAATGCATTGTAGGTTAATATAAAATCATAACTATACTTCACTTAACAATTGATGTCTTTAAATTGAAATGACAAATCAGAAAATTATTTCACAATGATACACACTTATGTGTTAATTTGTTTATGTAACTTTGTTTGCTTCGACTGGTTCTGATTTCATTAATTTGAACTTCTCTTGATCTTGTCCTTTGAGTTAATTGTATATGGGATAATTATTTGTTTGATTTATATATTTTTTTTAAAATAAGTGAATACAGTGATTGGAGGACAAGGTAGAATATAGAATGAAAAAAAGAAACGTGGGCCAACACAAATTGTATGGCATGTCAATGAAAGAGTGGAAAGAAAATAGAATATTAGTGCACAATCATTGTTTCGCAGCAAAAATTCCAATTCGCAGACTTTGACCGATACTTGCATGTTTAAATAGTCGGAATAAAGTAAGTTAGTGGACTTTTTCATCAGGAAAGTTTTTGTAAGAATATTGAAAATTATGCTACCATGTATATGTATTTTCTGATATAGCTTTCTTTGTTTCTGAAATATTTTATTATTATTATTTTTCTCATGGTAGTTAATTAACTATTTGCATGTCTCATTTGCTCAAACGATCCACCTATTCCTAGGTCTTGGCTTTACATGATTATGCCGTAACGAATGATTGACCCCATTGTCCAGTGCCTTAGTCGTCCAGTTTATTTGGCAATACCTTGATTCTTGCCCATTTACAAGGGAAAAAACAGAGGGGACAGAGACAAGAGGGAATAGAAAAGCCAAATGCAATACTCAACCGCAGTTGTTGAGTAGCTTGTTTTGCGGAACTTCCTTCCATGGAAGGATGCAGATTAAGATTGCATTTTGTGACCAGATAAATTACAATATCCCGTAACAAAGAACCCTGAAAGAAGTAGTTTTATACTATTTCTAAACGATTCTCGAATTTACAAAATACTATTTACCCGATGATATTTTTATGATTTGAAGTCGATAGTATTTTCGATATTTTAAGTATTTTTTCAGACATTTATTCTGTTCATTACACTATTCATCCTTTTTTTTTACTATACATTGAATGGTTTTTTTAGTAATTTTGATGTTTTTCAAGGCATTTTATACATAAAATTTTGCTCATGTTCTTTCATCTTTCATTTTTTTAACAACTTTTTGTTTAATTCATAATTTTATTTATATTGTAATTTGGTTCCTAATTGCTAAGAGGATAGAGAAACGAAGAGAGCAGAGAGAGATTCATGTATGGATTTTTTAATGAATTTTTAGAATATTATTATTGCTCTTTAAAAAAATGATATAATTTATATAATGAATTCTTTAAATTTTTAAATGATATAAGCATGATTATAATTAATATTAAAAATATTTTTTAGATAATTGGTCTCATAATTTTTTTAAAAAAAATTATAATAAAAGTTTTTAGTTAAGAATCTATGGATTTTTTAAATTTTCTTACAAAATTTTAGTTAAGAATCTAGTTATAAAAGAATAAATCGGGTTATTTTTTATAAAAATTTATATAAAAAAATAATAATTAATTAATTAAATATATAATTAAAAAATAATTTTATTTTTATCTTTGATTTAATACATTTTAATAGATTCATAGTAATTGGTTAGATGGTAAGAAAAAGTGCACTTTTTAAAGTTGAGATTTAAAATTCTTGTCACGGACTTTTACTTTTCAGATAAATAATATATGCAAGTTGCATTTTTTTTCATTTATGAAAACATTCTAATTTTAAACATATATATAATTATTGGGTTAGCAGAATTACAAGTTCCGATGGATATTCCACAAAATTCGACTAATGAAAACAGGTATAGAAGCATTTTTTCTTTAAAAAAACATATATGGATGAAGGTGGGGGACATGTTTCTTATCCTGTGAAGAATCCAAATCCGATTATTTTATACTCATATGTATTATTTTTAGCTTTTCATCAAATATATCTCTTAAATAATTTATTGTTGAAAAAAGAATCGCTGATAATTAAGTATGAAACAACACAGCAAGCTGCCAAGCCCCAACGAGTTTCATAGCGAAGGTCGGTCCATGTGCACCTCTGCCAGTATCTTCCATAACCTTCCAAAATTTTTAAATTATTCAAAAAAATAATTATTTTACATTATTGGCTCTTTTTTAAGGAGATAAATAGAAAAAAAAATTACATCCGCATCACCAAAAATAATAAAAATATTTTATTTTAATTTATTTTTTTATTTTTTTAATATTTTTAATATGAAGTAAGTATTAATAGTCCTTAATGACGTGATATAAAATTTCTAGTGAATATATTCCAGTTTATGCAGGCTAGATCATGCATTCGCATTTTCTGGTGGCTGATGTCGACTGTTGGGCTTCGTTTAGCATTTAAGATTATATTTGCTGATCAGATATTGGGCCCAGCTAAAAGATCTAGATTAACCTTGTTCGTGTTCTTTTTTGCTCTGTAATTTGGGCTTAGGCTCCATTGATTAATTGATAAATTCATTGCATGGTCCCTCAAAATTTGAAAATTAATGGAATGAACCTCTATGCTTTTAATTTTACAAACACATGCTCTTAGATGTCGGATATGCATCGCCATATGTGCACATTTAAATGATGCTGGACCCCAAGTGACAACAAATTGAAATTGCAAAAATTAATATGCTGAAAGCTGAAGCATGGGAGATGATTTAGCAAATTTTCAAAACTTGAGAAACCACACAATGAATTTACACTTTAATTCATGCTGATTCAGGAGGAAAAGAAACAAGTATTTTCTAGTTATTTAAAAAGAAAATGATTGAAAAGAAACGAAGGTATATGACATTTTCTAATTATTTATCTATAATCTCATAGGACATAAATAGAGGTTATTCAATTCTATAAAGAAAACATGTTCGATTGAGGAATTCATGACTTAACAAGAGATTATTATTAAATTCTTCATGCAATCTTTTAAAACATTGAGATTGAAATTTGAAACAAATAAAGCTAATTAATCATCATTATTATTACTATTATATATTTTTATAAACAAATAAATATAGAATCATCATTCTGTTTGAGTTTTTAAAATGACATATAAAGTTGTATAATTTTAATATTGAAATGAGACGTAAATACATGCTTTTATAATAAACCAATTACCATGAAAGTACATGCAATCAATAATTAAATAAAATCTCTATAGACAATGAGGTAATCATGGTGCTTCTTAGCAGCAATTGATTTTGATGAACCAAAAAAAAAAAAAAAAAGCCAGATTAGGTTGTGGAAGAGAGGTGTTTTCACTGATTTGATTAGATGTGAATATGGCCCAGATCCATAGATAAAGCTATATAACTCTTGACCATGCATGTAAAAAAGGGTTTCATCTGAAGCTTTCAATGCAAATAATTTATATAATTAATTTTAAGGAGATATAATGATGGGTATTAGCGAGGCGAATTGCATGAGCAAACAAGGGATGAGGTTGTTGCTGTAAGACAGTCAAAGTAGAGTCTGTCAACTGCTGTAAAACTATCAAAATAAAAGCTGCCAAGTCTGAAATTACGAGAATCGTAGCAGTTGTGACAGATTGCTGGTTGTTTGGTGTTGTCATCATATTCTCTCCATCTGGTGCTAGTACAGTTCATTACATGGGATTGATCGGTGGGTCTAATGTGCGGCATTGATTGACTTCTGTTGCTATCTCAAATCAGATAAGGCTCTCGAAAATTAAAATTTAAATATCCTTTTGAATTATTTATGATTTTTGAGGTGTTAGCTATTATTGATTTTGATATTATATTAACTATGAACCTAAAAATAACATTAGTTCAAAAATTATAAGATAAAGAATTAGTTATGCTTTCGGAAACATATTAATCAATCAAAAACGTTTTTTTTTAAGAAAAGTATCACGTCTAACTTAGTTTTAAAATTTCTCCTAAAATGTTTTATTTGTATCAAATTATTTTTTATTTAAACTCCTATTTTTTTTAGGCCAAATTAAATTTTTTATTTTAGTTTATGGTATCGTATTGAACTAATCATCGAATCCTTTAATCGGGAGATACGTCGGTTCAAATATTGAATTCGCTTTAAGTCTCGATATAGTTGGTATGTCGGAGAACACCTTAATTACTAAAATGATTTTTTTTTTCTAAAAACAGTCCCCATCATATATTAGAATTTATTAAAAAGCTTAATTTATTTATTTTTTTGTATTTTATTATTTTTTTCATTGGTGGGGAATTGTCATTAGTCCTTAAAAATCGGAAGACTCGACAGTTCGTCCATCTAATAATTATCTAATTTAATTATTGAAATAAATTTTAAAATTAACATTAACTAAATAAATTCCAAAAAAAAATCTAAAATCATTAAATCTAAGTTAATCGGGAAATAAAAATGCTTAAATAAAAGACATTCAGGATCAATTTATCTATATAAAAGAAAAAAATGAAATCAAAGCATTGGGCCTTTTTGGTCAATGGGCCCTCAGCTCATCAGGCTAGGCCCACTGGGCCGTGCCCATTGGGCTGGCCTACCAGGGAGGCCATCCTCCCATCTTTTTTTGTTTTACATGGGTCTGGGCTGGGCTAAGGCCAGCCCAGCCTTTGTCTCCTGTGGGTTGGGATTGGCCCAACCCACACTTTTCTTTTTGTTCTCGTGGATTAAACCCAAGTCCACAAACACACTTCCCTTTTCTTTTCTTTTTTTTCTCATTTTTTTCATTGTTTTTTCCGACCAAAACTGCCTCCATTCAACTATCTCTCTCTTTCGGCTCTTCCTTCTCTCCTGTTCTTCCTTGCCTCCATCTCCTTCATCTCCTTTCTCTTTCAAAGCCTTGAATTTCTACTAAAATCGGACTGATCTTCCCCTCCAAACCAGTTTCTCTTCATCCCCTCAGAAACCAATCTGATTTCCTCACTCCTCTCCCTCTCATCCGTTCTAACTCTTCTTCGCTTTCTGGACTGAATGTTCAATTCTCCTTATCTTCCCCAAATTATCTTCAATTGACCACAACCTAAGAATTAATATAAAAAATGGAATGAGTCTGGCATTAGGATCACCTGAACGAAACCAAACAAATGAAGGATGGATTTCAGGACCTTGTTGTTGTTATTGTTGTTGATTTTGCAGGTGGAACTGGAGGATGATGATCCTAAGGGTGAATGTGCTGTTGTTGATTCTGAGACCTGGGAGTACGTTGGAACACACCTAGGACTGACGATTGAGAGTGTTTTGATGACCGGAAAATTGCTTGAAGAACTGGGTTTATGGTGTTCTTGAAACCCAGAAAAATCAAAGCAATGAACTCAGAGCACTCCCCTTTCTCCCTTAAATCTCTTCTTTCAATCGTCCCTATCCCCTCGTGAATCCAGAATCTCCTCCTTAAAAACATCTTCCCAAAAAATCCCCTTTAAATCTTCTCAACTGTTGAGAAACAAGCCAAGCTCGATCAATGAGCTGGCTTCGAGTAATCAAAATCCGTTAGGAAACCAGAAAATCAAAACCATTTCTGGTGAAATGGTTTGGAATGCCAGAGACCCCTGTCTTCAAATTTTATTTTTGACAATTTGCCAAGTCAGTCCCTCAACTTCCAAAAAAACCAAAATTTGGGTTATGACAACTTCCATGAGCTAATTATACAATTATCCAATTGATCTGATGTCAAGCTGAAAGAAATAATACAATAAAGAAATATAAAAAACACCCATAATTCTAAACATTGCTATCGTATTGTATTCATTTGTAGTTTTTTATACAATATAGAAAATATCACAGTATTTAATATAAAAATATCATCGTGGCTATGATACAGAAAATGCCACTATCACAATAGCTAAAAATATAAACAACATTATCAAATATTACAATTCTTTGAAAAAAACCCTAAATTGTATGACTTAATATAGCCTACACGTTAAAAAACACAAAAGAAAATAAAAGAAAAATAAAAAGAAATGGGGTGCCTATAAGGGCGCATATCCGAGAATAGCACCAAATACCTTGATTTCTTTTTCAGCCTGAACCTTGAAAACATGTGTTGCAGTGGCTTTGTCATTCTCCATGTAAAGCTTGACCTTGTCTCGAACTTTAAGGTTCTTGCTAGCAACAAAAGCGAGCCAACCCTTTGTAAGAACTGGTTTTGGGTGCCTTCTCTTGCGAATGGAACATCTGAAGGTCCAAACATAGCCCCTTTCATCTATAGCTTCAAAATCTACAGCATGGCCACCTTTAAAAGATGGAAGAAACTTGAGATACCTAGTCGGCACTGAGAGTCTCGTGTGAACATCCGTTTTGCTAAGTATCTTCGAGAAGCTTGCCATTGGTGTTGCCAAGTAGAAATAACAGCTACTTTAGACTGGACTCTTTTCTCTTTTTTTCCTAAAGTAGCTTTAAGCACGGCCCTATAATTTTGGATTTATAGGCGCTTTGGTAGTTTGGTCATCGGGAGATTGCATGTAAGAAAATACAAGAATCGTGCGAGTGTCTTCGTTGATTAATTAATCAGTCATTGTAGGCTGGAAGGGAATCGACGGAATCGTGGAAGTGTCTATTTTGAGTTGGCAGAAGTTGAATTTAAAAGTGAAAAAAAAATGATTATCAGTGGTGATGTGACCAAAAAAACCAAATCATGCAGTTCCATCCTAAGTGGCATTCCAGGTGGTAAATGGGAACAAGCCATGCGATTAGCTTCACCTAGCTGCGAATTCAGAACATGCGCAGAGTACATGCCTGTATGAGGTATAAATTAATTATAATAAAAAAATATGTATCAGTAAACTGCGTTCTTTTATAAAAGTCACACTGATTAATCTTTTATTTTTTATTTTTGTAATTGGATAATTGCTACTACTTGTTTTTTCTGTTTCTGCAGGTGGTGTGCCTCGTCTCTTGGAGCTTCTTTATTAACAATATTATAATACTTCTCTTGGCCTTTGGGTTTTATAAAATTTAGAACGCCTTTTCCGATATAGCTTTCTTTGTTTCTGAAGTATTTTTTTATTATTTTTCACAGGTCAATCAAGGGAGTTAATTAACTGTATGAATGTCTTATTTGCTGAAACAATCCACATATTCCTAGTCTTGGGTTTACATGATTATGCCGTTTCGAATCTTTGACTCCACTGTCCAGTGCCTGATTTATGTTTATTTGGCATTACCTTGATTCTTGCACGTTTACAAGTGAAAAGACGACGGGGACAGTGGCAAGAGGGAATAGACAAGCAAAGATGATCATCCTTCATGATGTCACTTGCACTACGTGGCAGTGACATAGAAATACAGCTCTTCCCGTTATTTTTATTTATATATATTTATTAACAAAATAACCAATAATATTAATATAAAAAATTATATTTAAATAATTTAAAATTTTTTCAAAAAATCATTTTAATTATTTTATTTAAAAAATATTGATTTTAGAATATAAAAAAATAAATAACAAATAATTGATGTCATATATGCGGATTCATAATTAATTTTTAACAAAACTATATATATATATATATATATATATATATATATATATATATATATATATATATATATTACGATCATATTTAATAGATTCGAGTATATGGTATAAATAATTTTTTTAAAAAAAATATTTAATCTGTATGGAATATATTAAAGTCAATAAATTAAAATAAACATTGCTACAAAATTGGTTCTCATAAATTTTACTTCTTAATTTATGATGAAGGAAATTCTTGAATTGCAAATTAGATTATAAATTAGTTCGTCTCATTTTTAAAAATAAATAAATTAATTCTTTTGGTTTAAAAAATAAAATTTTTAATTTTTTTAATCGGTGTTAACCACGAATAATTTATTTTTTATTTTAAAAACGTCTTTTTTATTTTTTATTCTTTCTCTATTTCTTAAAAAAAATATTGAAATAGCAAAAAGGATAAAAAATTAGTTTTAAAACTAAAATGACTAATAATTTGTTTCCCAAAGAAAAGGGACTAATTTATAATCACTCTTGAATAACTTATGGCTTTGGCTTACCCGTCGAAAATAAGAAGAAAAAAATATTGAAAGAAGACAAGAGCATTAAATGCTCAATCTAAAAAGAACAAAAAGAAATGATGAAAAAAAGATCCAAAAAGAAAATTAAAAGGAGAATCAATCAAGGATAAAAATGAAATTTTTTAAATTTATCGAGTAGCAAAAAAAAAATTAACAAAAAGTTAGGGAGGTAAAAAATCAAGCACCACAATAACTAGTAAATTTAAGTCTAAAATGACAGAAATGGATAGTGAATATTTTAGTTATTTTAGTTTTTTTCTTGATACTTTCATTATATTCAATGATGGCTACTTCAATGATGACTACTTTTACAATATCAGTTAATTTTATTTTTTATTTCAATGATGACTACTTTTACAATATCAGTTAATTTTATTTTTTATTTTTTTTGTATTGTATATCAATTTATAAGTGAAAATTATCATTTATGTTATGTTCAGAGCAAAGATTTGTGAGCATAGTTTATCAATGCTTCCCTCGTGTCCTGATAAAATGGTTCCACTATTTAAAAGAGCGTTGCCTGGCTAGCCGCCAGTAGACTACATTGTCATTCTCCGACCTACATGGGCGCAGTGCGATGAATCTGATTCGAATATTTTTAAAGAGTAGAGAAACACGTAATACTCCATACATTCTGAAAGATACACATAAGTTTCATTAATTTCATTTATAAAAAATACCGTAAATTTAAAATATCCATAGTTATAGGATGATTAAAACTACACATCCCAACAAAACTCGACCAATAAAAGAGTATATGGAGACATTTTTTTTATATAATAAAAATACGAAGAAGGAAGCAGAAGATATGTTCTCTGTCCTGTGAAAAATCCAAATTCAATTATATATATATATATATACACACACATATATATTGTTATTAGTTTTTTCTTACATTTATCTTATAAAATAAATTTGTTATTTAGCTTATCCTTTGATCATTTTATATTTAATTTTGTATAAATTTATGATGAAATTTAATATTTATATGGATTTATTTTTTATTTTTTTGTAATATATATGAATTATCGGATAGTATGTTGCGATATATATATAATAATCCTTGCCTCCAAACTCGATTAATATTGATTGAGAACGAGGGAATATAACCCAAGCCCATTACCCACCATTGGGCTTAGTTTAACATTTGAGCTTTTATTTGTTTATCATCCATTGGGCCTAGCTAAGATCTAGATAAACTTTGTTTTCTTTTTTCTCCTCTGAATTTGGGCTTAGGTTCCATTAATTAATTGACAAATTCACTGCATGGTCCCTCGATATTTGAAACTTAATCGAATCAACCTCTATACTTTAATTTTATAAATAATAACCCTCACGCTTTCAATTCTCAGTCACATGTGGTCCTTCTATAAAACACATTCCACATATTCATTAGATGTCTGATACGTAATGTCACGTGTACACATTTAAATCTTTAAAGGACCACATGTGACAACAAATTTAGAGAGGGATCTTCATCCAAAGTTTTTGGGTTTAAATTTAGAGAAGGATGGGATCGGTTAATTAGGATTTTGATGGATGAAAAAAAAAAAAACTTAATTTTGATGTAGCGGTCAGGTAAAATAAAATTGTTTTAAATTTTTAAATTTTTTTAATTATAATATTTTTTAATTAATATTTTTAAATATTTTTATAAATTCTCTACTTAAAAAAACATAAATTATTCTTCTTTATGAATTGATCTATATATATTATATATTTAGTAATCAATAAAATTAGTATAAAAAAATATTTGAATAATTGGTTGGTTCATTTAAAAAATTATTTTAATTATTTTATTCTAAACAAATTAGTTCTATGATGTTAAAAAAATATTTATAGTAAATAATTTGTATTATGTTGGAAGATGTATAGTTAATTTTAAAATTTAGTAATAAAAAAAATAGCATAAAAATAATATTTGAATAATTGGTTGGTTCCTTTAAAAAATTATTTTAATTATTTTATTCTAAATAAATTGGTTATATAATGTTAAAAAAAATATTTATAGTAAATAATTTGTATTATATTGAAAGAAGTGTAGTTAATTTTCAATAAAATCAACGATTCAATAATTTTTTTATATATCTTGACCATATTTAGTGAAATGAGATAAATTATTTAAAATACACTTTTAATTTTTTAGAATAGAATAATTATATATTTATATGTATGCAACTATCATGTAAAAATTTTAAGAATTCATTATATATATTATATCAATTTATTTTTTTTAAATCATGTTTTAAAATTTTATTCTAAAATTCAAACATAGAGAAAAATAAAATACATAATATCAATAAATAAAATTTCATATAAAAAATATTAATTGGATGAGAATTTTTATAAAACAAAATTAATAAATTCAAAAAATAAATAAATAATAAGAGTAATATAAGCTGAAGTATATGTTAATTTTAAAATATAAAAAGATATATTATATAATCGTCGGCTTGTGTAAAAAAAAAAATTACAATTGATTTTTCAAAATTTTGACACCCAATTTTTTTTTTAAAAAAAAACATAAATTGATAGAAAAAAACATAGGAAAAATTAATTTTTTAAAATTTTAACACCCAATCAAATTAAAAAAAAAAACATAAATTGATAGAAAAAAATAAAGAAAAAAAACCAAAGGAAAAAAAAGCATGTCTAGTGCATCGATCGGAGATTAAAATTTTTATTTTAAATTTTTAAGGATCAAAATGAAATAACTTAAAAATTAAAAAAAAATCGAGAAATACACTATTAAAATCATCTAAAAAAGCTTAATCTCGATTTTCCTAAATAACAATTACGATCGCATAAAAAATTTAAAGCAAAATAAAATAATGATGTTGTAACATGAAAATTATTTAAAGCAAATACAAAAATAAATTTGTAGCTCAGCGTCAACTATGTTTCTACTGGACTCATCCTATCAGTCATTACCAATACTTGTTATCTTTTATATTATTTGTAATCTTACCATAAAAAAAAAAAAGGAATTATAAGTGAAAAAAATCTGTAACTCCAAAAAGTGAATCTCATAGTTAAAGTTTTTTTTTTTAGATTCACAATTTGATTCTAATATTCAATATTTATGATTTATTTAATTTATTTAAATATATCATGCTGATGAAAAAAAAAACCTTAAAAGATTTTGTGATCATACAAATTTGAAGTAAACAAAGAATAGTTTTCGTTTTCTTATTTTCTTCAAAATGTAAAGAGCTATTTTTGTCATCAGGGAGAGAGAAAAAAATCAAAGATCTAATCTACTGGATTGAAACCGGTTCGCTTATGATTTGCAAATGATGATTGCAAAACATGTCCTATAAGTAAGCAGCAGAACGTACGCGTGGTGTTCTTTCTTTCCCCTTCAACTGCTAACCCAAAAAAAAAACCACCTGAGTTACAGTGGAACAGTAATTTACTGTTCAAATGAATAGTGCACTAAGTCGATCCAACGGCTGAACACAAAAAAACGTACAAAACAATTGTTTAACAAAATTCAAGAAAAGCCAGCGGAAAGAAGTGAACAGTGAGTACACAATAAACATGAGTCTATATAAACAGTAGACATGTGCTGTTAACTTTTTCTCGTATCTTTTAGTTTTATAGTAATAGTAATAATAGTAATAGTAATAGTAATTCTCTGTCGTTTGTACAACCTACGCAATATTTGATCACTTCAGTAATTTAATATATGAGTTTGATGATTAAAGAGGTGATATGTATTTTTTATATATAGATTCAAACTTTAGAATCAACGTCTATATATAATTTATTAAAAAATAATATATCATACTAATATAAAAAGTTCATTTTTAATTAAAATCATTAAAATAAAAATAAAATTTAATCTTAATTCATGCAAAAATTGATTTAAAAATATACCTCATCGTGGAATTGAAAAAAAACAAAAAAAAAATCACTTTTCTTATTTGGGCGCTTACAATATAAGCGGAATATTCTTTGTTTCTATATGCTAAATGAAAACTAAATGGACACATATTATTAATCGATTTTACGTATATCGAGATTTCATATAATTTGAATTTTTTTATTAAGATATAATTTTTTTCTATTTAATTTAAGAGTTCTATTTTTGTGTTATTTTTGTTTCGGATCCTACCGTATCACGTAAGCACACGTGACAATCTTTAGTTAATAAAATCTTGCCACATAAGAATTTTTTATTTTTATTAAAACCTAATTTAAATCTATCATGACACGTGATCTCAATATGAACAAAACTAGTTATTGATCTTAAGTTTTTTATAAATTTTAAAAGTTTATTAATTATTAATTTTTAATTTTTTAAAGCGTTTTAAAAATTTGTCTTTATTGTAATCGATTTGAACTTGTTCTGAATTTCAAAAAAAATAGTTCCTAATTTTTAAAGTTTATAATTTTAGTCCTTTGTATTGATGTATGATTTCCTTGATTCGAATCTTTGGCCTCACCGACCACCTCGTGTCTTAGTCCACTCGCTTGGCAATGGAGACAACAAACACACAAGAGGCATGATTGTCTCGATGTAATATCGTCTAGTAGGAAAAGAGAGAGAGAGAGAGAGAGAGAGATCAACGGCAACAATTCTTTTGTGATGAATTGACTAACCACACAAGTAAGCATAGATCCGTGTACGTTAATTTATGTAGCTTTCCCCGCAATTGCTTTGACTAAACCGTCATTCTCCAAAATGCATGGATACGGGGCCAGGAACTATTTACAAAAAAGAAAAATATAATATATTGAATTTTGTGACCAGTTTGTCGACATTTATTTAAATTTTAAGGTACAAATTTTTTTTTACTAAAAAACGTGAATGTATAAAGCTGTGTGCATGAAATTTCAACATCTAAATTAATTGTATTTGTTGTTAAAAAAAATAGTAATGGTATCTTCTAAAAGCCTCGTAAGCATAAAGCACGGATATCAATGTTAGTGATACCATGAGTTGTCTCAACATGACCATTTTGATAGTTAAATTAGTATTTTGAATATGCTATGTAGAATTTAGAAAGCAACGCTAGCACTCTAAAAATTATATGTGTATGTTAGTGTTGCTAAGCCTCGTGATTTATGAATTGAAGAGCATTTATATATATTTGTGTGTGTTGGGGGGTATATTGTTAGAGTTTTAGGCCAAATGATTATGATACCTATCATCTAAAAGCCCGCAAACATAGAGCACGGATATCAATGTTAGTGATGTCATGGGTTGCCTAGATGTGACCATTCCGAATGATATATCGAGTTTGGAAAGCAAAAGCTAGCACCTGAAAATTATATGTGTATGTTAGTGTTGTTGAGCGTGTGACTTATGAAGTGAAGAGCCTTTATATATATATATACACTTTTAGAGTTTTACGCTAAATAATTATGATGCCTTAAAGAGAGAGCCCATTATTGTGATAAGGCCTAACTTTTATGGGCTTCATAAGAGAATTCAAATTTCATACTCGCTTTTCTTATGATGTAATTTGGATATATCGAAACTTTGAATATGCAAATCTCCAAATTTGAACTATTTGGCCATTTTGTTTAATGAGTTATCCAAACGCACTATAGTTTTTGGGGAAATCATAGTTATCGATTTTAGAGGAATGTATTTCTAGAATAATGGAGATTTCTAAATGAATGTTTGCATATATTCTCTACAAGAATGTAGTTATATGTTTCTGGAGGAGTTTAAGATTCTTGAACGAATGTTGTTGTGAGTTCTTAAAAGAACGTAATTGTATTATTTCGGAAGAATTGGAGATTCTTGAAGAAATGAACTTGTGTATGTGCTTTATTTGTTGAACGTTGTTTATCTTCGAGTGGTCGACATTTGCTTATCATGCATGTTCGTGTTTGTCCCGTGTATTTGTTTTACCAAATTTGTCTTGAGCAATAGATCATGAATTGGATTAGGCATCCTATTTGATTCACATAGTTAGTTGATAATTATAACACATAATAAAATATATAACAAATGGGTATCAATCAATCTATTAGAAAAAATAAAAGAATTTACATCGGATCGCTCATGACTCGGTCGACCCGATAAGAAAAAATATATGTATATATATAATAATAATAATAACTCGTCAAAACGAGTTACAAGGAAACGTTTTTCCCTTCAATTCTTGTGCGCACGCGTGTGCACAAACACACACACACATACGTGTCTCGTGTGTGTGTGCGCCTCTTGAAACATACGGAAAAAAGAGAGATTAGAGAGAAAATAGACGAATAAAAAGACTCTCTCGCAAGCGAATACTAAAGCAAGTAGGATCGTCTTGGTACTTAGATTATGAAAATAAAGATAGTGATTTAATATTACTCGTATTGATTTAGTAAAACTATTTATAGGTAATGTAACTCATGTGAACTTGCTTAACGTAGCTATACGTATGAAAATAATTTTATCTATATCTATTAAGTTGTAATTATGATTTTTGTGTCATGTTTGTGTTTGGTGAGTTTAAGATGCTTGAGTTTAAAAAAAAATTTATTTTGGCATACCGAAATTTAATTCCCGAGCCCAAATATCTCTTAAAAAATCAATGATTATGTGAGCATAAATTATGTGCTATTTCTTTTATATTTATGGTGTGAAAATATTTAAGGTTTATAGAATTGTTTATAAGAATGCTTCCTTTAGAATTTAATTAACCATTATTTATTTTTCCATAATGTATATTTAAAATGACCATGCAAGTGAAAAACATGTCCCACTTAAGAGTCGTGGTCAAATTTTATGAACCAAATAAGGTTAGGAAGTTGGTTAGTTTAACTACTTTTTAGTTTCTCTCTTTAGTTAGTGATTTCACATAAAATCTTTCACCATACTTTCATTGTACTTTCTCACTTAATTTAGGAAGGTTAAACACTCCAACTTATCTCTCTTTTTGTCTCCATCAATTGGCTTCTCATATCATAAAAATTGGACACTTGGCATATTAAACATATAAGAAAGAAAAAGAAAAAGTTTAGTATTAAAATTGGATGAAAAGATGAAACCTTGTCATTCTTTTTAGCCAAAAATTTGTGCCCTTCAAAAAGAGGAGAGAAAAACACGAGTCTAAGGGAAAGAAATAAGAAAAAAAAGGGAAGAAAGAAAGGAGAAAAGGAAAGGAAATAAAGGAAGGAGAAAGAGAAGAAAAATGCTAATAAATCTTAACCAAACGCACATCATTGTAAGTAGGTTTCTTTTGGTTTCATTTTAGTTTTATTTATACCTTAAGTTCTCTTTTAGGTGTTTGATTTATGAGTTTTTTTTAAGCCATGTAATATATGGTTATGGTAGTTTGTGTTGATGTTAAAAATTTGATGTTTGGTGATGGATTTATGATGTTTTGACGATGATGGATTTACTTTGAATGTTGGATGTGTATTTCATGGTAAATTTTAGGTTAGAATGTGTAAGTATACCATATATATGTATGATGATGGATAGTTATACATGTATGATGGGTTGGTTTGATGATAATTATATGCGATGAGAAATGTGTTTTAAAAATTTTGAAAGAGAATTTTTTGAATTTTTAGAGGTGAAAAATTTTGAACTTTGCATGATTTATTTAGGAATCTTAGAGTGATTTCTAAGTAAAACTCAAAGAATAAAAGTTGTTCATCTATGTGTCTACTAGCTCTCTGTAAAATTTCTTAATTTTTAGATCTATATATAAAGAGTTATCGTTGATTTGGTACATATCATTTGATGTACCACATGCTGAAAATTTTTAGTTTTAAACTTTGTGTGATTTATTTAGGGATCTTAGAGTGATTTATGGGTAAAAATCAAAGAATAAAAGTTTTTTCTCTATTTTTCTACTAGCTCTTTCTAAAATTTTATGGTTTTTAGATCTATATATAAAGAGTTATAGCTGATTTGGTACAGAGAAAAATTTTGAGTTTAAGGAGAGGAAATTCTGAAATCTAATGGGAAGAAATGAGTTTAGGTACTTAAACTTGATTAGTTAAGGTATTTAGTTAGCCTAAGTATTTAGTTAGACACTTAAGCCACCATAATATAACTATATGGGTTTGAAAGATATGTATGAATGAGCTTAGATCTAAAATAAAGTGGACTTGGGAATAAAACACATGGACTTGGTTTAAAACAAATTGGTCTTGGACTAAAATAAAAAAGGGGTTTGGATTACAATCAATAGACTTGAGTTAGAATAAAAATGAGCTTGGATTAAAATAAAATGGAATTGGATTAAAACAAATGGACTTGGGCTTTGATTAAAATAAATGAGCTTGGACTAAAACAAAATAAGTTTGGATGAAAATAAATGGACTTGGATATCCTAAGAACACTTAGTGGACCTTAGTACTAAAATGGTCAAGTTAGATCATACCATGAAAATATTGATGAAGACCCAAGTGTGGCTTGAATTTCTAAAATGGTATAGACATAAATAGTTTAGTGCCTATGAGATATGGAAGGTGGTTCATGATATATGAAATGGATTAACCTTATTAGACGGGTCTTGAATTCCTTATGTGAACTCAATGCTATATAATCGATGGGTTTAGTATCCATGACTTGGTGGAATGTGGTTCATGATATATCATGTGCATCATACACATATAAAAATGGATTAGATTGAGAAAAACCATTGAGTAAAAAATGATGAGGTTTAGTAACCGAATCGAATGAAAATTGGATAGACTTGGTAACCTACTAGATAAAAGGGGTATTAGCGGTCCAATTTGTATGCGTACTCTAAGCCGTGTGCCCGCACTGTTAGACGATGGACGATGAATTCTCACTAACAATGGCTACAACGAGGGATTATTCCGTTGTAGCAGAAGGTGAGCTACGGTTCACTCGGATTAAATATAAAATAGACTTGCTAATACCCGGGGTATCCGGAAATAAAATTTGATGAGTCGAAGTGGGGAAGTCGGAAAATCATTGGATATCATGTGCATCACCCTACTTACCGAGCTTTGGCTCACTCGTGTTTATTTCATGCTATGATAGGTAAAGGTGATACTAATGCCGATAATGAAACTGCCGATTCCTTCCGGAAAAAGCTCATGTGTGACGCGAAATTATAGGATCTATATTTGTTTGTAAATTATATTTTGTAATTTTTGTAATGATATTCGATACATTGTGTATGTATATGAGATTAAATTTGAGACTTCGGTCTCTAAATTGTGGTGCACCCAATCACGCCTTTTAGGTAATCGGCAAAGGAGTCGGGGCGCCACGGGTAAGTGTTTTAATCTTAATTATTTTTATTTTTGAAGTATTTATTATATCACAAGCATGTTGCAAAAAGAAAGCATGACTACGTGATAACCTTTCATTTTTTGTTTACTTTTCTAAAACATTTTCCAACACAATTATAAAATAATAATAAAACTAATAATTGATATAATTTTATGAAAAAGTGCTTGGACGAATAGATGCATGGATGACACGTAATACAAATTAACACTATTTCAAAAGCATATAAGTATGATAGAGATAAAACGATAGCATAAACAAATAAATTGCTCACCCTCTCCGTTGAGAAATGTCAATTACAACAAACTTGTGCCCCATTTTTAGGGTCATATGCTCGCGGATGTTTATTTTTTGGCGATTGTAAAAAGATAGGTGTTTAAAATATAGAGTTGCCACTTAGTTTTTTAAAATTTGAAAAATTTTAAAAACATGAGAGATTGATTATAAAAGTTTTAAATAAAAAGTTGATTATACAACTAGAGAAGACCATAGTCATCTTGGTGTTCTTTAATAATAAAATTACCTTGTATTTCTAGCATGTGTAAATTTATTTATGTAAGTAATATTTTGTGTCAACTTTGTTATTTTGATTTATGAATTGATTATTAATCATTTTCTAACAAGTCCTAAATGGAGTGATTTGAAAATCGAAAAAAAAAAAAACAATTTCTCACTTAATTTGTCGCTGGGCATCGAAGCCCCCTTGAAAAGATGGAAGTCAGAGTTTAAAGCCAATTCGGTAGATTAAGCAGCCCAAACTCTATAAAAAAAATATATAAATAAGATAAAATAAAGTTAGACCATAGATCCAAGTTCACATGCGGATAAAATGCCTCGACTTTTTAAGAATAGCACATATCTAGTCAAAAAACAACTGTTCATACTATTTTGGAAACTCGTCGTCTTTGCAAATGCAGTGAATTACTCGCGTTTGAAAAGTTTTTTCTGAAAAAAAAAAGGAATTGTTTTCAAATTATGTCCATGTCAAGAAAAAAAAACATTTTCAGTATTAATTTGTTTTACACAATGTGAAAGTTTTCAAACTTGAAATTAGAAACTCTATTCAAAAAGTTCAAAAATCTTTACGATTATTTTTTATCTCATGAAAACAAAAAAAAATTATCCTTTGAGCCTTAGGATACATGCATGATAACACCAGGCTTCTATGATATTTGAATCAAATTACAACAATATTTTTTCCAACCACAGGCCCGCAGGCTGTGGTAATTGATCAGGATCTTATAAATTGAGAAATAGGAGGGTTCACAAGCAACGCTACAAAAACAAGTAATCATCACGGAACAATTTGGTTTAAGTAGTCACTATAGCTGGATTTGAAATTTGGCTACAAATTTGGGTGCGTTTTTAGGAGGTGGGACAACTATTCTTTTGATTATTTTTATCTATTATTTTTTAAAAATATATTTAACTTTTATTAAGTTTTTGATACATTCTTCCACCTACATTATTCGACTATTTTACGCTATTTTTTATAATCTCTAAAAGAGTATTTTGAATTGTTTATAACTAATATTTTTAGCATTTATTGAATAGATATATTTATTTTCTAAAATCCGAATAGTTTTATGACGTTTGATAGTTTTTGATTAATTTGATTTAAAAAAACCCAAATAATTATAGTTGCATTGAAATAAAAACTATTGACATAAAACAATAAGTAGTTAGGATTTATATGTGCGTGTCGGATGACTATTTATAATTAGATCTCTTAAAAATGATAATCATAAAAAATTTGCACCAATTTATTTACAAGAATAGTTAGAAAAGGTATAATATTCAATTAAATTTTTTTAAAGAGTTCGTGTTTTTATATATAATCATGGACTCCGTTAGTTTTTATACACATTTCAAAATATTAGATCAAACTATATACATTTCCTCGAAATACCTTTGGCAATCCAATAAAAAAAAAATCTTTCATTTTGGTACATTTAATAGCTCTGGACACGTATATTATTACTTCAAAATTGTGTACATAAAATTTTTGTTGTGTTTTTTTCCACACATGGTACTATCTACAAATCGTCAAAGATAGAAATTTCATTGAACTGAGATGAATAAATCTTATAAATCTATTTGAACCTAATCAATATACGAAAAGGGTTCTCCAAATATAGAGAATAAAACGAACTTAAATGCCATATATATAAAAGAATTTTTTAAAAATAAAAATGAAACGTTTTGTTTTGTTCTTCCCAAAAATAAGCAAAAACCCAAAATGTCAAAAAAATTTGGCAGTTTTTGCAACGGCATCCCAATTCTTCTTTTCTCTGCTGTACTTTCTAGTTACAAAAAGAGAAAACCATGAAACATTGTTGCGAAAGCACTGTTCATTATTATTGTTATTTTTTTCACTTCTTCCGCCACAATTTCCTTTTCATTTTAATAAATTTTACTTTCGTTTTAGTCTTTGTTTTATAATTTTCTTTCTTTTTGGTCATTAAAATTTACTATATTTGAATTTCATTAATCATTATTTATTTTTTTCTCTCTCTCTTCTCTTAGAGTTCTGTTTTACTTTTAATAAACTTAACTTTCTCAATAGTCTCTGTTTTATAACTTTTTTTTCTTTTAGTGATTAAAATTTTATTATATTTGATTTTTATTTATATAATAAATATTTTTTTGTAATTTTTAATTTATTTCATTTTAGCCCCTAAAAATTTAAAATAAAAATTTCAATTCCTTGATTGATGCACTATACATGCCTTTTTTTTCCTTTGGTTTTTTTATACTTTTTTCATCAATTTATGTTTTTTATTTATTTGATTGGATGTTAAAATTTTAAAAAATCAATTTTTTCTTTGCTTTTTTCATCAATTTATGTTTTTTTTTAATTGGGTGTTAAAATTTTGAACAATCAATCACAATTTTTTTCCACACAAATTGATGATTATATAATATATCTTTTTATATTTTGAAATTAACATATACTTCAACTTATATTATCGTTATTATTTAAATTTCATTCTTTGAATTTATCATTTTTTTTATCAAAATTCTCATCCAATTAATATTTTTTATATGAAATTTTATTTATTGATATTATATAATTTATTTTTCTCTATATTTGAATTATAGAATAAAATTTTAAAACATGATTTTTTTCTTTTAAAAAAAAAATTGGTATAATATATATATTATGAATTCTTAGAATTTTTACATGATGGTTGCATATACATAAATAAACAATTATTTTATTCTAAAAGGTTAAAAGTGTATTTCAAATAATTTATCTCAGTTCACTAGATATGGTCAAGACATATAAAAAAAATTATTGAATCGTTTATTTTATTAAAAATTAACTATACAACTTTCAACATACAAATTATTTACTATAAATATTTTTTTTAACATTATAAAACCAATTTATTCGAAATAAGATAATTAAAATAATTTTTTAAAGGAACCAACCAATTATTCAAATACTGTTTTTTATGCTAATTTTATTGATTATTTTGTCAATAAATATATATAGATCAAATGCATATACTTGAAAAAAATTAATCTTCTCACCAACAATAAATAAGAATAAAATTTTATTTTTTTATTTCTTAATTCTTATGCAAGTCTATACATTAATTATAAATTTATTTTTTAAATTCACTCTTATAAAAAAATATATTTTTAAAATATTTGCTTTTGAATTCTTAATTAATTTTTCAAATTTAAATTATTATAAGTTTTTATTTAAGAATTCCTAAATAACGAATAATAAATCATGCTTTTTAAGCATAAATTTTATAAAAAACACACAAAAAATAATAATAATTAAATAAAAAATTATTACATTTTGAAAATTTTATTTTATTTACCAATAGCATTGTGAGAATAATTTTAAAAATTATTTTTTCTCATCAACATTAAATGAGAATACTTTTCATTTGTTAATTTTTGTCAAAATTTGTCCATTAATTATAACTATTTTTTAGAATATAATATTGTAAAAATTATATTTTTAAAGTTTTTTCAATTCTTGATTAATATTTTAATTAAAAATATTATAATTTTTAATTTTAAAATCAATCATAGAGAAGAATGATTTATTTTTTTTTAACAAAAAATTTATAAAAATATTAAAAAAATTAATTAAATTAAATATTATAATTAAAAAAATTAAAATTTTAAAATAATTTTATTCTATCGTATCTGCGGAGGAGGCAACCGGCTAGTTTCCACTAAAATTCAACACTTATTTATCCACTTCTTCTTTAAATGAAACAGACAAAAATAGACGAACCTCAAAAAAAGAAAAAAAATTAGAAAGATGGCAGGTTCCCATTCGCTATAAGGCACTTCCTTCACTACTCTCGAATCACCCAATCTCCTCTCTGACACTCTACGCTAACGTGTCATCTTCTAATTGTATCCACAGCCCAAACGAATCCCTGAATGCATACCGTATTCCCCAGGACAGTACCGTCAGATGGGCACAGTTGTTGGGTAAACTATATTTTGACACCTGGAGAATAAATATCTTTCAATTCCATCCTTTACAATTTAACAATTCATCAACATTCATCTTATAGTTTCCATAAACCTCTAATATAACCCTAATTCATTAGATAATTAAGACGAGAAATGATTAGATACACCTGACATATTATTTTTCTATATAATAAAACGGACTATTGAATAATTATAATGGCAAGTTATATTTTTATGTAAACGGAGGAAATTAACATACCGTCTTTTCTAATGATCCAAATCTTTAAAATGTGATAAATCTTTTAAAAAAATTAAAAATCGATGGTGAAATTTTTGACAATAGATCTTTTTAAAAAATAATGCTAATCTTTGCTAAAAATCATTGAAAATTCTCAAAAATTGGATTTATGAAGTTCATTGATAGAAGCACCCATTCAACGTATTAGAATTTTTGGAAAAATAAATTCGAAAATATCAGAATTGATATTTAAAAATTATAATACTAGAAAAATTCAACCACTGGGAACTGAAATAAACAGAAAAAATCTTTTATGGACTAACACGTAGTTTACATAAAATGATCTCCATCCAAGGCCTCTCCAAGTTGCTCCTTAAACAAAACACAAAAAGCCCTCAAAACTTTTTGACACAAAGAAACACATGCGTTTTTCCTCCTCTCTTCAAAATCACATAAACCTCTATTTTTCCACATTTATCCCTAACCGACTCCATAGCCACTCTCTTCCTCCTGGTCTTCTCGTAATTTTCTCAAACTCCCATCGCTTTCTCACAACCCATTCCGCCGGCGATCTGTGGCGTCTGTTATTCACTCACGGCGGTCTTCATTCATGATAAAAATCTTTCTTATTCGATTCCAGTTAGGGTTTGGAAGTCACTTGAATCTTCAAAATCTCAAAAATTAGGGTTTGGTTTTAGATTCGATTAGTGATTGGTAATCGATGATTTTGAATAATTAGGGTTTTTCTAAGTTTCTATTTTCGATTTTGAGTGTATCAATTTTGTTAGGGTTTCAATTTCTAAGTAGTCGGGGATTTAATAAGGATGCCGAGAAGTTCGCGACACAAGTCGAGCAAGCATAGCTCGAGAGAGTATTCAGATTCGGAGAAAGATTCGAGCTTGAAAGAGAAGAAGGCTGCCGCGGCGGCGAAAGAGGAGAATATTAGTAATAATAGCAGTGTTAGGGTTTCGAGCGAGAAGAGAAAGTTAGATTTGAAGGAGAATAAGGAATCTCTAAATGGGGAATATCTAGAGGAATATTCTTCGTCTTCGTCGAAGAGGAGAAAGGAGAGAGTCGAGGAAAATAATGATAGATGGAATGGTGGAGAGGAGGAGAGAGGGGAGAAGAAGGGGAAGGAGAAAGGGAGTGAGGAGAAGTCGAAGAGTAAGAGGAGGGATGAGAGTGTGGAGAAGAAGAGTGAAGGAAGGCATAGGGAGAGTAGTAGAAAGGAGGAGAGGGAGAGGGAGAGGGATAGGGATAGGGATAGGGATAGGGAAAGGGAAAGGGAAAGGGAGAAGGAGAAAGAGAAGGATAGGGAGAGAGAGAGGGAGAGGGAGAAGAAAGGAAAGGAGGGGAGGACTGAGAAGGGGATTGGGGTTGAAGAGTATTCACGTGGGGGAAAACAAGTTTCTGAAAAAACTGGTAAGGTAACAATGGGTTGGAATGTGTTCTTTGAATGTGCGTGTTTGTGAATTTGTGTGTTGGTTTCGTTTGCTGTTTTTTTAACTATAAGAATGGTGTTTTGAATTGTTAGAAGTGATTGCTGAAAGTTTTAATTAAACAAGGGAAAAATTTGGTTGTTTGTGGGTCTTGGAGGGCTCAATTCAATAATGCTTGAGGTTTAAGGTTTCTCTTCTTTGTGAATTTACCTGTGCTTATTGAATCACCTCTATCTGGCCTCTCTCTGGAGTCTTGTGTGTTGAAGTGTCATCAATAAGTTAAAATGATTTAGATTCTACTAGTTGAAGAGGTTTTCTAATCAACTTCTGGAATTGGTTTATGATATTATAGATTTATATTTAAAATTGGACAATATGTAAGAAATTAATAGGGATTTGAGTGTCATTAATGTAATAAAAATGTTCATTTTCACTTCAGTCTAACTGAAATGTGAATTCTCTTATAATGAAAATGGATCCACATTAGTCATGAGAAGAAGGCCTGCATTTAAGGAACATAAGATATCAAAATTATATTCCATTGATACTTGTCTGTGTATATGAGACAGTCCTTGTATGTGTAAAAGAAAGTGTTTCAAATGCTTATTCTCTAAAGTGTTATATGTAAAATTGAGAATGGCCATGTGATCTGTTAGTTTGCCGATCTCACCTTCATTACTGTATAAAGCTATGCACACAGAAGTGAAATGCTCATGGATTTTGTGGATGATCTAGTTATTTGATGATAGAAAATGTTAACAGTAGAAGAAAGTATGACGGGACTTAGTGGCCAATTAAATGTACCCCTAGATATAGTTGACCATTGCACAATTATCTATATAACATGGAGTGGTTTGAACTTCAATCCGGTTTTTCTGATTTATATTCTTAGTACTTCAGATGCACAATCTATTTAATTGTGGGTATTGTCTTGTAAGTGCACCATACTTGTATTTGGATTTGATAACAGATTCATTTTCTCTTTAATTCAACTTTTAGTGTCCTAATAAGATGTTTGGTAGAACCTAATGAACTGTAATTTAATGTAATGGAAGAAAAAAATGGTGCTTGTTTCTTTCTTCCATTCCACTACCTCACACTCCATTATGTTCTCCGACATATTTATAGTGTTTTTTAAAATTCTTTTTATTTGAAGTTGTTTTCTTGGAGAAAAGATAAATAAAGTATTTAATTTGATTTTACTGGTACGGTACATTAAGAAATTACAATTACATATAGAACTAGTCAATGAAGATATTATCGATGGTTTTTTTTTTGTTTATTTTCTTCCACTCCTACTCAGTGAATGCATTGGCAGGATAAGTTACTTGACTGCTTTAGCTGAAGTTAGTCCAGTCCTTTGACATTTATTATGTGTTGGCGGCTTTAGGGTGTTATTTGGTTGCTCTTAGATATCATGCATGGTTACCTTTTTGTCCAATTGGTTTTTCTAAACTGGCATGGCTCTTACTCGTGTATTTGATATGCAATCTTCTATTCCATATTCAGACACTATAAGTTTCATTGCATGAAAGTCTTGAGTTATTTTGATTCCTCTTGAAAAGGAATGGACAGTTGTTGTGATGGGAACATTGTTGCAAAAGATCTCATGTATATTGAGTAGAACTCTATAAAATTTTGTTTCACCTTTATGATATTTTTCGATAGATGAGTTTGTAGTGTGAATTATGCCTGTTGTCGGCATCTTCTAATTTTAGTTATTGAGAATTTGGAACCAGATGAAATTTTCCTCTGTATTTTTAAATTCTGTATAAATCTGCATGCCCATATAACCTGGCATGTAACCGCACATTATTCTTCATGTGGGTTTCAAATTGCCTTACAGTTTTTTTTTTTAATCTTCTGGTAAGAGATGTTAGTTATATCTTCCAAGTTATTATGAACTAGAATGTCTTTCCTATCATGCATTCAAAGAGGATATTTTATGAAATACTATTAGATTTGAAATAAAGTAATTTGGGAAGGAGAACATGAAGGCCATTTCTTTGTGCTATTTTTTTGTATTTAGTGAAGTAATCAATGTGTTCGTTTTCTTTTATCTGAAATTATGAAATTAATGTTATTGACAATCTTGCAGGTGTTGGATGGTTTCATAATGCGAGGGTACATCCAGTCACTTATTTTAATAATAGTTAGATGTTTAGATGAGATATACTGATAGGCACATGATCAATGGTTACATGATACTGGCTATGTGTCTCTTTGGGGCTTGCCACCTGTTTTCATTATTCAAGCAGTTGTAGTAGTATATCATTGATTATTAATTTCTAGTCCCTCTTTCCTCTTTACACGTTAGCAGCCTTAATGTTTTACTTAGCTGGCTGAACGCTTCCTGCAGTTAGGATGTCATGGTCCTGTTTATTTAATCTGCCTTAATTTTTTTGTCTTGTTTCTCTTGGCTCTTCTTGCTGAACATCCAGCTTATGTGTTGATTTATGTCTTGTGGCAGCAAATGATCAACTGCAAAGTCCTGAATCAGAGAACCGTTCTGATAGGCGAATTAGGAGAAAGAGAGATGATTCTGTTGACGGGGATAAGCATCAGGATGATTTTGGAGATGCCAATGGAAAACGATTATCCTCAAGGGAGGATTTTGCCAAGAATGGAAAACCAAAGGATGAGAAGCACAAGGATGATAGATATAGAGACAAGTACTATGAAGACATGGACAGGGAAAATAGGCATCGAGATGATAAGCAAAGAGAGGAGCGTGGTGCAAGAGATCACATTAACAGCAGGTCTGATGAGAAGCACCTAAGGGATGAGAAGGATGGCCCAGAAATTCGGAAGAAATCTAAGCCACAAGAGAGTGACCGTGATCATGATCGTGATTTTGATGTTGTTCGGGACCGGGACCGTGACCATGATCGTAATCGTGACAGGGACCGAGAGCGTGATCGTGACCGTGACCAAGATCGTGATCATGATCGTGATTGGGATTGGGATCGGAATCGGGACAGAGACCGTGATCGGGAGCGAGACCGTGACAGAGACCAGGACCGTAATCTTGACTATGATGGGGTGCATATTGACGATCATTGTGCCAGATACAAGGGAAGGAAAAGATCTCCTGAAGATCGTAATGACTATAATGATGCTAAATCCAAAGGTATAAAGGCACCTTATACTGAAGTGGAAAAGAAATCTTTGAGCAGTGGGAGAGTTGAGTCAGATGACAGGGGAAGGTCTCAATCACGTCAAGCCCATCTAGAGAATAATGTTAGCAGTAACAGGCGAAGGGCTTCCCCAGATACCAATTCACATGGAGCTGTTGAAGAGTACAGGTAACTGTTTATATTTTCTAAATTACTGAAGAGATGCGAGGATGCTATATGAATGATATTTCAAAATTGATATTTTATCCTGTGGAAATTGTAAACTCCCAGACAAGTTTTTTTTTCCTTGGTTGCGAAAGTAGGGTTTTATATGACTATCTATTCTTGATCTGATTCAAAGTTATTTATTGATTTGTTTATTTATTAGAACTGCTTCCCTGCTTTTTTTATGACAGATTTGAAGAGCCATTTATTGGTGCAATGGGTTGCAGTACTTTTATTTTAATCATATTAATGTCACGAGCACGTGTGACGAAAATACAAATAAATCAGTCTATTGTTTATGTCAACAAATATATTTTGATCTTTTTGTGGAGTTCTAGGTTAACACAGTATAGGTGAATGATTTATTTCTATTTTTAGTCATTTGCTGCTTGCTTTAGTAGTAGGTAGATTGCATTCATGTATATCATATAACCTCTCTCTTTGATTATTTTCTGCTATCATTGTGATAAACCACATAGTTGAATTGAGTTCTGCAATCTACTGTCATTGTCTTTTTATATGGTATTTGTTGCAGCATTGTTACGGTTGCATCTTTCTTAGAAAACATCTATATGTGTCTTGGCCGCTCAAATATATTCATTGTCTCTTGCATTTAAAGTTAGTTGCATACTTGTGGGGTTGACGCTATGAATTATCACTATTCTATTTTGTCCCAGTCCAGAAGGTGAATATAAGACAAGTAAAAAGGTCAAAATGTGGCACATTCGGTTAATAATCTCTTATATCAACTGGTTTTAAGTATTGGAATCATGCTGTTGTCGTTCGGTGAACAAGCTAGCTCACTGTTATAATATATAATCAATGCATCTATTGACCTATTTCTAAAATTGATGTCCTAATTAATTCGTTTTTATGTGGAACCCACTTCAATGATCGAAATGAAATTTTATTATTGTTTAGTGCCCTTAGGTAACTTCTTGAGTTGAACTGTAAGATGATAATGATGATGGTTTTTATTTGTTGTGTTATAGGCATTTCAAAGCAGAAGAATCAAAGTACAGGGATGCTGTGACAGAACAGAGGTCGAAAGCAATTTCTTCAAGAGAGGCTATTGATTTTCCGGCAACATCAGAGAGGGCTTCCAAGTATAGGTCTACTGATAAACCTATTAAAATGGATGATGGCCATCCGGGTGAGTTGTCGATTGAGAGGTCTTCAAGTTCTAGAGTTTCACCCCGGGGCTTGGTTGACAGATCTCCTTCATCAAGCCTTGAGCGCAGATATGCAAACAGAACTGGTGTCAGGCGGAGTCTTGAAATTGAAGAATCAGCAAGGAGGAGAAGTGGTTCCATCAGTGCTAGAGATTTGCCTTCTGCTGAGGACAGACTAGGTCGGGATTTACCTTTGGAGAAGCCTCTAGCAGATGACTCGATTCCAGCTGATTCATCCTTCTATAATAGAGCTAATCAGAACAATTCTGCTTTGATTCCTCCACCTGCCTTCAGGGGTGGAGGTAGCAGCCCATCTTTTATGGGCTCACTAGAAGAAGATAGTAGAGTTAACTCCCGCTACAAGAGAGGTGGTGATCCCAATCTAGGAAGAGGCCAAGGAAATACTTGGAGAGGTACCCCAAACTGGTCGTCGCCCATGCCAAATGGCTACATGCCTTTCCAACATGGGCCAGCTCACGGAGGTTTTCAAGCAATGATGCCTCATTTTCCATCTCCACCGCTGTTCAGCGCCAGGCCATCTATGGAAATTAACCACTCTGGGATTCCTTACCATATACCTGATGCTGACAGGTTTTCTGGTCATTTGCGCCCACTTGGGTGGCATAATATGATGGATGGGTCAGGACCTTCTCACATGCATGGATGGGATGGAAATAATGGTGTGTTTAGAGATGAACCACATGTATTTGGGCAAGAGTGGGATCAGAATAGGCATCAGTTGAATGGTCGGGGATGGGAAACTGGCACTGATATGTGGAAAGCACAAAATGGTGATGTGAATATGGACTTGCCAGCAACTTCTGTGAAAGAGGATTTTCCAGTGCAGGCACCTCAGGAGAATGTTTTGGCTGGACAAGCAGGTCACCACTCGCAAAATGAAAATGTTCATCAAAAAGTCCAAGCAGAAATTGTAGAAACAACATTAGCTGTTGCTTCAGCAAAAGAACCTTCAAAGTCTATGCCTAAAACTACCCATGAGAAGCTGCCTGATCGTCCTAAAGTGCAAAGCAGTGATGACGGTAGACATATTGCCTGTGCTTATCTTTCTAAGCTGGACATTTCAACAGAACTTGCCAGTCCAGAGTTGTATAGCCAGTGTATGAATTTGTGCAGCATGGAGCAGAGTGCAAATGCTGATGATGATGTCATTATGCTTGTAAATTTGAAGGTAGTGACTCTTTTATCTGTCATGCCTGCGCATGTATGTGTATGCATACTTTCTGTTCTTAATTTTGTTCTTTATGCTGTTGTGATGTGACAGGATGGTGCAAGAGCAGTGCCAAAAATTTCCAATTCCATTTTCAGTCTTTCACTTCTTCCTGCCCCAAAAGATTCTGTTTTTCAGGTAAATCATTAGGGATTACATAGCAATTTATTTGTTATTAGACCTGTGTTTTATCAGGCCGAAGTTCACAATTGTGCATGTTTGCGAAATCAGTCATGATCAATTGGAACCATTTGAAGAAGCATTGTGATTTTTTTTTTTTCTTTGTGGATTTCTATGCATTTATTTTAGCTCAGGGGAAACTATGAGGGTATTTATTTTAGCTCGAAGAAAACTACTAGGGTTTCCTTCTTGTTAAGTGAAAGTGCAGATTGTATAGGCGAGTACTAGATGTGATATTTGCAGCTTGTAGTGCCTACTTTTCTTTTGCTGCTAATTATGATCACTATATCTGTGTTTTTTTTTTTTTTTGTTCATTGACAGAAAGTTCCTTCAGATATATAAGACATCTTGCCACTTTATCAATGAGGAAAATGCTTATTTCAATTGAGATGTGGTTACAAAAAGGAGAAACAGATGAGATGTAGGATAATAAACAAAGGACTGGTATATAGATATAACATGATCAGGGTAGATTTGGGTTAGAATTCCTCGAATGTAAGAGGGAGACAGATGTTTTTGTTTTTTGCCGCATTTGCATGTCGCCATCATTCCCACCTTGGTCCTGTCTAACTGCAAACAGTATTGACTTGGTCGTGACTTTGTTTTTCATTTAATGCTTCTCAATAGTTTTTAGATTAATTCTGAAGTGCCGATTCTTTCACTCTGACAGTCTGGTTCCTTCCTTGCAGAGAGCCATGGACTACTACAAGAAGCAGAGAGTAGGTTTGAGTTACTTGCCAATTTTTAATGGTGGAACAATCGATGCTATTTCAACATCCAAAGTAAAGGATGAGCCTATTGATGATGTGCACGACGCGGAGGAGGCAGTTTTAAATCAGGATGAAGAAATGCCTGCTGTGCCGGTGTTGAGTTTAGATCAGGAGAAAGCTGAAGATGTTCCAATTGCTGATACCCATGAGTCATTGGAAGAACCTGTTTCCACTCCTAGCCAGAAGGAACATGCTCGCATCCCCTTTGAGGAATTGCCTTACCAAGCTCCTAGCCAAGATAGTCCTGAAAAGCCTGTAGAAATTTCTAATGGTACTAAGATTGATGAGGCGCCATCTGAGCTTGTAAATTCAGAAGATGTGGAGGGAAGCATTGCAAGCATTGATAATGCACCTCAAACTGTCACCATTTCACCTGCTGAAGGTGTAGATGATAATTCTTTGCAATGTGCTGGAGAAGGGCATGGGTCTGGTGAAGCAATATGTGGTCCTTTATTTTTTTCGGATGATTCTCCCAAGGCATCTGGGACTTTGATGCTTGGGTCAAATGAGTCTGAGTCGGTAATTTTAAGTCGGATACATCATTCTCCTGAAAGTACACATTGAGACAATTTCTCTATCTATGTTCTTTAATGCCTTTTCGTTTAGTTATTGTTTGCTTTTCCAGTTTTTGTTGCTTCTCTTCTTATCAAGGAAATAAAAGGAAATCCACTCTTTGGTTCCCCTGGATAAGGGGTTTTGCGAGCCATTCATATCACCTGCCTCTTCCCTGCAATTCCATGCTTTTTTCCTCAACCACCGGTTTGCTTGCGTCCGTTGTGCTTTGATGATCACATGTTTGACATCCATAATAGGCCTGCATCAGGTAATTTATCTTTCATGGATATTGATTTCCTTGATTACTTGCATTGGAACATACAGTGTGATTCTTAGAAGTTAGTCTGTCATATTTTTCACCTTGTATTCTGTTGTTAGTAAAAAATACGTGCATTTTCACTTGCCATGGTAGGTGATTATGGAAAAGATGAGTTCTTTTTTGGTTTTTTTTTTCATCTTCTAACATTAGAAATTGGTAGATTTAAAAGGAATGCATCGAGGAAAAAGAGATACATGGAGGAGAAATATGGTATCCTCTAGAATAATGAATGCGCAGAAGGGGTAGTTGTTTGTTGTTGCTTCTGCGTTTGTTTTGATGCATTGCTGAAGGTGTTGCATTTCCGGATTTTTAATCTGTATTGATGAGCCTTATATATATTATCATTGGTGGAAGTAAATTAAAAACCGATTAAATTATAAATTAATTTCTCTAGTTTTGATAAATGAATTAATTTGTCATTCTGTTTCAAAAACTAATTATTTAGTTTTTATATTTTAAAATTATTTATAACTTTATTTTTTTTTTAAGAAATAGAAAAAAAAAGGAAGAATCGATGAGAAGATGTAACATTTTTTGAAATAAAATAATATTAATTAAATGTTGTTAGGAACTTAATAATTCTTTTTTTTTTTAATGAGGTGGATTAATTCATTTGTCTCTCTAAAGCAGAAAGTATTAATTTATAATTTACTCCTTGAAAACCGTATTATTTGGAAAATATTAAGTTTGATCTTTTATTTAGAACTTAGAAGCACATGCAATTGTAATAATACTCTTCTTCATGGTCCTGATGCTTATCCATGTCTATGGTAATATCTACAAACACATACAATTATTATATATAATTGAGGATTAAGATTTAGGGGAAATAACTTAATTTGTGCCCTTATATCATGTGGGGACAGAATCTATTTTTGTCTTTGCATCTCTAATTGTGCCATTTTAATCTTGAATAAAGGATTTTTTTTCATTATATTTTTCCTTCTATTTTACCATAACGTACTTTTCAAATTAGCAAAATTTATGCATGTCAATTCCCTCTCTAATTATTTTAATTTCATTTAGAACGAAGCTTTTGGTTTAGAGGGATCTCCTCATTTCTGACATAAAATAATTATTTTTGAAGTGAAAATAAAAAATTACTTTATTTTTTAAAATTATGAAAATTTCATTTTTTCATTTAAAAAAAAAACAATTTCATTGGAAATATATATATATATATATATATATATATATATATATATATATATATATATATATATATATATAAAGTTAAAGCGTTTTTATTGGAAATTATTGATGGAACTTTGTGGTCTTTAATTTCACAATTTCATTGGAAACATGAAAAAAAAAAATTGGTAGTGTTTTCGTTGGAAATTATTGATGGAACTTTGTGCTGTATAATTTCCTTTGGAAAGTATCATTGTAGTAGCCTTAAAAATAAGAGACAAAACCTTATTGAGCCATTTCTTTAAAATTTATGATTGAAAGAAAAGGTGTTATTAGTGGTCAATCCAAAACTGAATAGAATTGTCGGAAATAGAAGGGAATGTGTTACTAATTAAATATTTATTAAAAAAAAAAAATCCAAAAGCGTTTGTAATGAGACAGTAGAGTCCAAAAAAAAAAAAAAAAACAATTGATGGAAACAAAAGGGATCAAATACTAATACTAATTTTGTAACCTTAAAATGAAAACACAGCACCAGAGTAAAAAACAAAAAAAAAAAAAAAAAAAAAACCTAAAAGTTTTAAGGAAAAAAAATCTCTAAAACTTATAAAAAAGCTCGAAATTTAATGTCCATATAAATAACACAGATAGAGAAATGTACGTGTCAAATTTCTTTCAAGTGAATACCTATCGAGTCTGGCGCAAATCGTTTAACAAATTTTGGTGTAAATAGTGATACTAATAGTCTATAGAGTAAATTATAAATTAGTACCTCTCGTTTTAAGAAACGAATTAATAAATTTTTTTATTTTAAAAACTAATTATTTAGTCTCTTACTTTTAATTCCATCAATAATTTAATCATTTCACCAATTTTTTTGTTAAATTAATGATTTTTTTTAATTTTTTTTTTTAATAACGGTAACAAGATTTTCTAAAACCGTTAATGGTTATTATTTAAAAGTATGAAAATAGTAGTGAAAATAGCAAGAGTGCTGAAGGAGAAAACATTGGTGCTTGCGAGTCGTGATCATGGACTTGCTGGTCTAAGAAAAGAACTTGAAAATAGTAGCTGCACTTGTAAAAACAGAAGGAAAAATCCACCATATTCTGCTAACTAATTTGAAGAAATTTGATTAAACAACTCAAATGTCATATCCATTATGGAAACTTTTTTTTTTCTTTATTTTATTCTGATACCTCTTGTTTCCTTTCGAAAATTGTAATTAATAAAGAGAAATTGTAAAAATCGGATTATGGTGCAAAACGTTTCTCATTAGCAATTTAATTCATTATAGAATGGACTAGCTTTCAACTATATGAGAATTGTGAGTATACATATTTACACAATGCCTAAACTAAAACAGCAGGCAAACCTATAAATTTTATTAAGCTCAGACTGTGTCAAAAACAAAAAAGAAAAACAATTACATTTTTTTTTCCTTTTGGCCAAAAAAAAAAAAAAAGAAAAAATTAAAAATTCTGTATGACTGTAAGATCCCGCGGGCTTGGGATTGGGTTAGTGCTCCTTGTGGAGAAACAATGACTGATGTGTTTTGTATCCTAATTCATGAATTTCCGGCAGTTTGGAGCTTTACACAAACAGGGAACTTTGAATTCATCAGGCTCGTCAGGATCGAACAAATAATCATACCTGTCACATGCAATTAAGCGATAATGAGCAATAGAAAAAGTTGACAAATTTATGAACTCAAACTAAGAGAGAGATATATACGTCAGCTCGTCACCAGCAGATACATTTGTCTTCGCAATAAGGACGATACGACTTTCGTTATCACCAACACTCATGATCCTTGCATAGCAATTGGGCATACACTGTAAAAGATGCAAATGAGATACGTCACGATAAAAAAGAGAGCAGTTACACCATCCCTGGAGCATAGAGAGATATAACAGTTTTGCGCTAAAAACTATAAATGTTATTGTGGAATCAAATCACGAACTGCAGTGTCCCAACTTGGGATTATTGAAGCACGGAATGCAGATATAAAGTCTCAACTTAGACACAAATGACTTACAGAATGGTTTATTAAGCGCGCTATGTTTCCTTTATCAGTGGCATCCACCACTACCTCTTCACTGATCTTGAAAAGCTGCAAAAGAAAAATCAGACCACAGTTTAGCTCTCAAAGGTGGAGAAACAAAGAAAAAAAGGCAGAAAACTGGCCTTGGTAGTATTCTGAGCAAGGAAAAAAGGCAGGGAAGAGAAGGGGGAAGCATGTTCAAGTTAGAAAACAGCTTTCAATATTTTGAAACCAATATGATCTTAAGCAGAGGTTAGGGTTTCTCTGACTATCACAGTGTTTCTATCATCTTTTACTTAATACGAAGAGTAAAAGAAGAAAATAACTCACATAGCAGTCTTTTCCCTCTGATCGATAGCGAGCCTCCCTAAGATCTGCAATACTGCCTCTCACTTGTTCACCGCGATACTCAAGAACCTGCAGACAATCATGAGTCGGTGATGGATTATATTTTGGTTTTGAGGATTATCCAGAAGCAATTCATATGTGAAAATCATATTTCAAGGTTTTTTTCATTCATGACAAAATCATGCGTACCATTTCTCCTTCTTGGATGTTTCTTCGTGCAAAGAGGCCCCATCCATGTATTCCAGATCTCCCAAAGCAAACTCGGTCATTTTCAGTTCTCTGAGATCATATGTACATCCAAGAGATAGTTAGAAGGCAATCTAGAAAGTAATATTATCAACAGAAAGATGGAGACCTGCCTGTAAGTGGTAAAGCCTTTCCTTGAAAGAAGAAAAACTTTTAGGCTCCTCTACTACCTGTTTAAGAAAAAGACCAAGCACATTACCACTAGCTTTGTTTCTCTTAGTTTCCACGTCAAAAAAGATGAGAAGATAACAAATATTATATACTACTGAAAGGTAGGAAAAAGAAATTTACTCTGAATGCATTCAAACTTTGTATCTCTCCGGATGGATGATGACAAGGTCTTGTCAATCGATGGGAAATGGCTTCTTCTTCTGTTCTCTGGCATATCAAAAAATAAAATAAAAATAAATAAATAAAGTGAGAGATTAGATCTCAAGAGCCAGGAACTTTTATTGCAGCAAGGATTTGGAAGTGTAAATTAGTTGTATAACATGGACCGTTAAATAAATTCAGTGAATGAACAGCTCACAACTGATGAGACTAGAGCTTGATTCACATTTTCATTTGATTACCTAAACTCTAAACCTGCTATTCATGATGAAAGCAAATTTCAGATCCATTGAAAAGTAAAAAAAAAAATAAAGCAAACGAGTTGGGGCATCTAATTTGGTAACCTGCGACTCATAACTATACCTATCCATAGAGCCCCAAAATATATTTCAAGCCCAAATTTGATAGTGAACAATACGACCATGTAACAACACCACAATAATTTTCCATAATTACATATATCTATTCATTCCTTTTAGCAGCAACCAAGCACTTTGTTAAGCATATGACATGATGAATTTAGCTCCAGAACTTCCTGATTCTTTTATTTTATTTTTCAAAGCAACAAATCTAGCTAATTTTCTCGCTCAATTCGTTGATCGTATTATTTTTCTTATGTCATGGTTCTTGTTTGTGCTTCATTCCTTGTATGATCCCCATTCAAAAGAAGTTCACTGCGTCTACTAAAAAATATGGGCAAAAGAGCATGATATGGAGCCTCCAAACTCATGGGATTGGATTAATCTGAGCAAGCAACTCTTAGAATTTCTGGACAATTATCCCCTTCCCCTTGTCCCCCCAACAGTACCCAGAATATACCATAGCTGCACAGCTACAATATCATGTTCAGGTGAGCAAACCCTCTTGTGTTTTATAAATGTACTCACAATCCTTATGAAAAAGGTAGGAAAGGGGAGAGAGAGAGAGAGAGAGAGATCCACACACACTGGAAGAGATGGGGAGCAAAACTATTGTTTAGGTACCTTCTTGTTGTTGTTCACCCTTTTGAAGACCCGACACCTCGCAGCAGAGAGTGGCTCAGACTGGTTAGCTTCTTCTGTTGACACCGCTTCAAGTTTTATTCTATTAGATGAAATTAGCCTCGTACCAGCCCTTTTCTTATTTTGAACAAGGCTTTTGGCAGAAAACACCCCTGCAGGAGTCTGTATGATCAAAACTGTGTCTGGATTTGGAGCCCTACATCATGAAAGAAAACATGTAGTTATTATATTACAGCTATAGATGACATATATGTTTCTTGACAAATATGAAGGTCTACAGAGGCTTTGAACTGCAAATTAACTCTAAACAAAAAAGTATATGATGAAGAATGCTATTGGATTCATCATAAGATATAAGGACTCTGTACCTGTGATATGCACAATATGAAATCATTTTTGTTGTCTGTCTCCCATTTTTTTCCAAGCAGTGCAACTGTGATTTAGAAGGAAGATTATTTAATAACAAATCAAAGCAAGAGAGAGAGAGAGAATGAATTCAGCCATGCCAATTGAAAGTTCAATAACTTGAACTTGTGAATAAATTTTCCCAGATGAAAACCAGTATATATATTTTTTACATGCCTATGGTAAAGCAAGTGCATGCAGCAAGTATTCCAACCCAGACAGTAAGTGGCAAAAACAACTCACCTCCATGCGATACCCTGCCCTCGAAGCACACATTGCATGGTAATATGTGGAACACTTGCAACATTGAGTACACGAGCCATGAATTTGTTTGCAAATAACACAAATCTGGAGTTCCAAAAAAAGGACATTCAGATTTCATCCGCTATGTTTTCAAATGCACCAAAGAGTTCAAAAATCATAATTCATTGGCATATAGTCATTGATACAAAATGTGAGGAAACAGAAACAGAAACTAGGTTCAAAGCACAATACAACAGCAGAAAATGCCAAGAATTTATATGCAAAAAAACCAACTTATTCACCACATAGTTCATTGAGTAAAGTAGGATGATGCTTTAAAACCACCAGTCCTCACGGGATGTTAATTGAACTTCTACGGATCCCTAGGTTAAGTATGAGATGCATGAGACTTTAAAAGTCAAACTATAGCAGCTCTAGTGCAGTGATTAATATAATGAATATTCTACCTTTACAAAAGAATTTGAAGGGATGCTTAAAATCCCAAGAGCAGGTTCCATCTTTTCATCACTTGCAAATGAGACTTCAGGTTGAAACCAAGCACATGTAACATGAACCCATAATGTCTCAACATCAGTTGGCTTTAGAGCACCACCTAAGAAAAATTGAGAAAATAGATATAACATCAAAGGAAAAAAAATCACAGTCTACATGAAAAGCAACTAAAGAAATTCTCATTTGAGTGTAGTAAACCTATTAGTACATAGTATTTAAAAAAAAAAAAAAAAGGACAGAAAACAGACAGAGAGTTGTTTTAAACCACTTTATGCAGAAGCAAGCTATGATCAAATTATGAAAAGCAACATCTATGTGTAACTGGCTCAAACCCAAGATGGAAAAAAAGAGATTCACTGCAGGCTGACCAAAAAACAAACCTTTAACAGGACAAAGGCAACACTCCCTCTTAATATCTGGTGTTTCACATGCTTTGCAAACCCAAGAAGTGAAATCCTGCACGTTTCTTGCTCCATAACATTCTTGATGAACAGCTATCTGACATCTGACAGGTGGATAAAATAATGAGTGATATTAAACATTACAACAAAATCTCCAGCCAACAAAAAAAGCCTTGCTCTAATTAGCAGATATATAAGCAGGACATTAGTTTCTTCTCTTTTGATATTATTTTATTCAGCAGACTACACCATGTAATTGTAGCTGAAAGCAGATAATTGCAGCAAGAAGAATTCTAATGACTTCATAATATTTAAATTATTCAGATAACTCCAAAATCTTCTTTTCTGGCTAAGATAGCTTTGTTGCTTTAGACGTTGATGGAGATTTTTCCAAATGTCAGAAACATGTCTAAAATACAGTTCAAGATTGCATAAAGTGTCTTTAGCACCATAAATTTCCACCTACACATAGTATTCTGTGCATAATAATTAGAATCCATATTGAAATAGTCGGAATACCTATTGCAGATAATAATCTTGTTGTAGTCCCAGTCTTCAACCCATCTACATACAGCACAACGTTCTGTTGTCCACTTAGCATAAACAGGTTCATATCTCTCTGTCATGACAATGATAATAGAAAGCTCATTGAACAGCGTGAGAAATTCAGACAGTGCAGCTCAAGATAACACACTGATCAGGTCGTATCCTATGCTAGAAAAGAGGCATACCTTGTAAGAAAGCAAGCAACTTCTGCTTCCGCTCTTTAATGGAAGGTCGTTTTTGAGGTTTAGTAGAAACAGCACGTGCATGATACTCTGCTAACTGCATCATCTGCGAAGTCCAAGAGCATATTGGAGATATAGACAAATCAATATCCAAATGCATAAGAAAAAATAAGATGATGTTGAAAAGCAGCTCTAATGTTCAAATTGGAGATGATTGTAAGAAACCATGTTCCATGATCATTCTTTCAAAACGGACGTAATATACTTTAAGAGGTACAGCAGCATGTCACCATCTAGAGGCACAAACTTGAAAATAAAAAGGAAATATTCACCAGACAAGGAAAGATGCTCAAAAGTTTTTGTACGAATCCAAACTTGTAACAGAAATAAAAGTATTCACGGGATAAGAAAAGCTCAAAAGATTTGGCACAAACCCATTGTTCTAGAGGTAGCATGGAATTTTTCACCCTAATACTGGTCCTCCAATTCTTAATTTTGGAACCCGTGTGCCGTTCCCATTCACTAAGGGCTTGCTTTTCTGAACCACAGAACCCACATTTGCAAACAACCCTATGAGCAGAGAAAAAAAAATCCATAAATGAACTTGACAAAAACGCTCAGGAACGAACAGGAAATTTCCCAGAAAGTGCAAGCACTCAAAATTCATGCACTTGTGAAGCTGAATCTCTGCTTACATGTGCAGACTTGGGAAATATGTGCCTTCCACTCCTGAGCAGATAACAGTAACCTTATTAGGTAGCGCTGGTTGACCATTAATTTTGTATGATCTGTGCCAAAGGCTCTAAGATATTAGATATAAACCCTTCAAAACACTTGTGAATAGAAACTTCAAAATCCTTTTGTTTCTTGATAAAAATAAAAATCAAAAGGAACCTACTTGCATTTCGGCTGTGATTTTTCTGAATCTGACAATTCAAAATTAAATTTTGCTTTGCAAGCAGGGCAGTAGTAATCAGTAGCCTCCAGATCCTTTAAGCAAGAAAATTGATTAGGAAAGTCAGAAACTTCCATCCATGATCATTATGTCGCTAGAACAGAAAGTAAAAGCATGGACAGACCTTAAAACGATTGCTGGAAATCTTGTCGCATGCTGCATGGACCCAAACTTTACAACCATCACAACGTACCTAATTGAAAGAGGGGAACCAGAAGACCAATTTGATAAAAAATAAACATTACTTCTGGGCAGAAAAAAATCACAACTCTAAATCGAAGTTGTAGGCTGCCTCACCCAGCTCCCACTGTCTGAATGATTCCAAACCTTCTTGCATATACCACAAAAATGTTTTGATTTTGTTAGCTGCAATATCAATTATGAATATGTTAAAAATATAAATAACCAATACATACATGACTTAGACTATAAAGACAAGAGTTATTGCGTAAAACAATGAAGAAAATACAGGTGGTACCAACCCTAGCACATGTTTTACATAAGAACTGGCCGCCTGGGATTGAACCCTTCATTTTCTTTGCAGGTTTTAAAGGAAGGCTCGTGCCACAGCCTTCACAGTGTCGCATGTCTTTATTCTTCCAAATCATGTCCTGCATCAGAGAAACTAAATTTGATAAGATTCAATAAATATAAGGACAATTTAGCGCTTCCTACTTTCTTCTTTTTTTAAAAAAAAAAAAAAAACGAATAACTAGAAACCTTCATTTGAGTCAGAACCTGAAGAAAACTGAGAAAAGCCGAAATTAATGTGGAAACTCATAGTTCGGTTTCTCAGGTTCCGTCACAGAAAGGAACCACAGTGGAAAGAAAAGTAGCACTTGTTACAATTAAGTAGGCTTCCTCGCTAAACTCCCAACCAAGGAGAAGTACAAATCACAAACATCTGACCATATTTTGGTTTATTCTATCTTTCCAAGTAAAATGGAGGGCAAGAAAATGTACAATTATAGTGCATTTTGGTATTTCTGTTCCTTCTTAGTGCAAGAGAGAAAACAGAAACTGAGAATGATGGACTTTAGGAACGGTATTCCAAGCTTCCTGAACTTGTTGAACTGTTTTCATACTACAAACTCCAAGAACTAAAAGAGCAACTACACTTTAGACAAACAAACAGCCCTGCGGCTGAAAGCTGGGAGCTGGGGACCCCATCCAGATTCCAGATCAACACTCCCCTAAAATGTGATCAACACTAAAATGCCTACCTATCATTCTAAGAAATCATACAAAGCCAGCCTACATTTATGTGATATCACATCCAAATTCCAATGAAAACCTACTTTTGACAGCCAAATTATTAGGAGATTTTACCCCCATATCCCCATAATCCATAGGTCTTCTAAGCCTGCTAACTTGGTAAATTTTGAGGTATTGTGCCAGGTGCCAGGGATCAAAATTCCATTTACACCTAGGAGTTAAAGGCTTTAAAGTCTAAGCACAGGACTGGAAAGAAGGAAAACAACAGAAGAGAGTGTCAAAGAAAACAACTTAAGAATTACACCATGAAACTTGCCTGGTTTGGAGAATGGAAGTCCTGATCCTGGTTAGAGCCAGTAGCCTCCTGAAGCCACCTATAAACAGATTCATCATAAACTGGATTCCCAGCTGCCGTGTTTATATCATGTATCAACTTCTCAGTGAACCCCTGTTCGGCCAGAAAAGCCTCCTCGACTGCCATCTGGAAACCATCAGGCTTGCAGCCATCCAATTCAGACTGTTCCTGGAACCTAAGCCAAGAAAAAATATTCATTTAAACAGAAAATTCAAAAATCCCAAGCTAACAACCTATACAACAACAACAAAAACAATGACAAGTAACAAACCTGTCAACAAAATCCATAAAGGGAAAGATCATCCCTCTCTGAACCCAAGCATAATCCTGGTCATGATTATTCAACTTACCATAATTAGCAATCACAACCATTCAAAAAAATAACAACACAGAAGCTCCATATATCCAAAGCAACCTATCTATACATAGCAAGTAATTCATAAATTTAAAATCCACACATACCCTTTGATTGCCATCATTCCCAGAGCAACCAAAAAACATCACACAAGCTGCATCAGCAATACAAGACCTCAAAACCAACTCAGGTGCTTGTGTCATTGGATCAATAACAATAGCTGGCCAGAATGGATATTTATTTCCCGACTTCGCCCATACTATATCCCCCGAATAAAAATCCTCCGGCCCAAACAACCCATCCTCTTTCCTCTCCCCATAACTTAAATCCAAAACCCCACCACACTCATTATCATCCACCATCACCAGATTCTCATGCACCGAGGTAAGTGTACTACGTGAACAACTCGAATAATACTTCTTCAAATCAAAACCACCCTTAAACCTCGCTTCATCCTCTTCTTCGAACGTATCCACATACTTACCACCGCAATGCCTGCTTTGCTTCTTCACATTACTCACATTACTACCCATTCTACGCAATCCCAAACCTATTTTCTCTTTCTCTTTTTTAACCTTTTTACTACTACTACTATTAAATTGAATATCATAATCATCATCATCATCATCATCAACAACATCATCATCATCATCATCATCATTATCGTCAAAATTATAATCACGCGAATTTGTCTTACTTTCTTTTCTCCAATTCTCAATAACTGAATCATTAAACCTCGAAGGCAATACCTGAACTCTCCCTCTCGACGTCCGTACCAGCGGTGGCCGCGAAACCTCCACCGTCCGATTACTATTAGTATCATTATTACCATTCACCGCTCTCCTCGTCGTTAAATCTCGACCATTGGATTCAGTTGGCGAGCATGATACTTCCGTACACCAAGAAGCAGCAGCAGCAAATCCTCTCGACGACTTCAAACTCACCGGAATCACACCGGCGGCGATCTCGCGGAGCAGATTGAGAGGATAATAACCACTGCTGCCATGGTGGTTGGTCTGCGTAAGCTTACGTTTCTTCCTCCGAGTTGAAGGCGAGTTGTCCTCTTCTTCACAAGCTGAGTTGTCGCCGAGTTTGTTACACCGTTTCAAACTCGGCATTTGAGATTTCAAGTTCCTCTTAATTATCATCCTCTAGAATCAAAATTGATTTCAATTCGACCAGAATTAAGAGCCAGAAACCCTAATTTTGAAGGTAAATTTTGGCGAAACGAATTGAAACGACGCAGCATAGAAGGCTGTAGAGCTACCGAGCGAACGAGAGACTGAGAGAGGGCAATTCTGTCAGTAAAATTTGAAGGAAGAAGAAACAGAAGGAGATAATGAACAGAGATCTGGAATTGCGAGAGAGAGAGAGAGAGAGAGCGCTTCGTGTTTCTCTCTCTTCTTTTGATGGTTGTTGTTTTCTCTCTCTAACTGCCAATGACTGCATATTATTATATAATAATAAGTAAATACATATTTTTGTTATTAATAATTAAAAAATAAATAATGCAAGGAAGAAAGCAAAATCGGAGAGAATTTGGGTTCTAGAGAGAGAAAGTGGATTGGGGATCGGACTTATAGAGCGAGAAAGACAGGGTCGGCTTGTTTGTGTGTGTGAGAGAATGAAAGAAAGAAAGAATAATGGGTTTTACGTGGTGGGTGTAATGGGCTAACTCACGTGTTTTTTTTTTATTTTAATTTTTTTCTACGTAAAAAAAAGGTATAGATTTCTTCTTTCTTCCTCTAATCCTGAGATTGTGAGGAAATTCTTGACAATGGAGATGGTTAGCTCCAAGAAATTTGGAAACTCGAATTATATTTTGGAATGAGATATATGATAACTTTGATTTTGATTAAAATCCTGGCCAATGTAAGAAATTAAACAAAAATTTCACTCGTTTTAAAATAAATAAATGAAACGAAATTTGCACTCGATTTTGGACGGTTTTGGTTACAGCAACGGAGATGATGACATGATTGGAGAGTTTCTGAAACTCAGAGAAGGGATGTGATGGAGGAAAGTTCGTGAGTGGAAATGGGGTGGCTGGCAACATTGTGAAAACGTGACACCATTTTTGGTGGTGGTGGTGGTGGTGGAAGGAGGGAAGGTGGTGTTTTTCATGGTGGCTCTCGGGTACAATTGGTTCGTGGTGTAGAATGGGATTTGAATTTTTTTGGGAGGTGTTGAGCAACCATGGCAAACACGAATTTTCCCACCATTTTTTGGGAGGGTATTTTGGGTAGTTTGTTTGTCTATTAATGGGCTGCCTGGACATTTTAGTTGCATAAACACTGTTTATTATTAGCTCAATGTAATTAATTAATTAATTTGATCGAAAGTTCATCGTCTATTTTGATTTGATATAAAGGTTAGGGTTTGATCGGTGAAGATAATGCATAAAATTTTAGAAAACTGTTTCTCCATCTCCTTGGCCTGCCTGTTTTCGGGCATCTTCGGGTCGATGAGGGTTGTGGGTCCCAATAACGATGTTACTTTGAGGAGCAAAAAAAAAAAAAAACATTGGTCTGCAAATTTGGACAGGAACAGGGCAGGCAACTTTAAGTGTCCTAGAATAGCAACAACGAGCCTGCCTTTGCCGGAAAGTGCAAGAATCCGATGCTGCCTAAAAGTTTGGTTAGTGTTCTTGATTTCGAGAAATGGGGCATTTGGGTTTTTTATTTTGATTTTGTTGATGGATTTGTTGACCAAAGTGGGGGTTTTTTTTTTTGTTGGTTTTTGGAGAAGTGATGACCGTGACAAAAATTTTGTGGTAAGATAAGATGGCAAGGAAATTTCTGAGGTTTTGGGCTGGATGGATGATTTTACGGCATGGATATAGCTGGACTTGCAGTTGCTGCTGAAGAGTTTAAAATCTTGCAAGTCCAAATAGTGAAGATGATGATGGCCAAGGTCGAGCACTTGCTTTTGTACTAAAATTATTAAAATTATTGTGCAGGCTTGATTTTTTATTTTTGATGGATGGTTTTTTATAGGGCAAAGATTATGATTTTTTATTAGGGAAATTTGTAGAATAAGATTGTACCAAAAAAAAAATTAATTGAATAAGATGAGCTTAACAGAGATTGTGCCTTTTGACAAACAAAACAGGCAATGAAATTGACAAAAATATGTGTATTTTTTTTAATAGATCGTAACTAAGCTGCTGGATTTTGATGCCACTTTTCCCTGGATTTGGCAGCAGGTGGGTCGATATAGATACGGATCTTTCAAACGAGTGTTTTGCCAGATGGGTTTGGAAGATTTTGGGGTGATACTGACAGATACTGTAATTACAGAGATTTGGAAGAGGCAAGCAACTCTGGTACTATTAGAAAAGTAGGATTATGGTACAAACGGACGAGGAAGATGAGCAATGACCAACAATGAGGAAAGGTGGCTTAGGGACAAAAGTGTCATTTGCTTATCAGGCAAGTGCTTTCTTTCAAAGGGTTGCTACTTGCTAGTGCTCTCCACCACCACCACCACCACCGCAGATTCTGGCTGTGCACCTGTAGGCAGTGCCACCGCCGCCGGGATGGTCAAAGCCCGTACTGAAGGGGGAGATTAACCAAAAGATGGAGCAGCTAAACAGAGAGGAGTTGATATAGCCATAGATGAATGTAATTTTGTTCTGGCTTGATTTAGATGATAAGTTGTGACGCAATGTGATTTTTGTTGTCTCTTGGAATGGTTACGCTACGACCCAACATGGACTAACATATCGATGAATAATTGGTGCCGATTTGCTATAGAAACTCTGAATTCCTTGGCAAGATGGTGGAATCTGGTGAACAGAGAGTTTTTGCGAAGTCTTCGGTTTACAAGTCAATGACTTGACATGACATCATAATTTGCATTCAAGGGAGCTTACAAGAGAAACGATGGTTCACATTTGGGGTATGACTTGATTTCTTAGAGAAAAAGTATGAAGCCTGAAAAAGAGTCAAAAGGGACGATCCTAAAGAAGCAACAGAAACGTAAGTAGCCAATGGATTTTTGTTTTCTTCGTCACCTTAAATTTGGACTTTGTTGAGAAAACACTAGGATTTCATAGGAGGTTTCAGATAGTTACGAAAAATGGTTCAGTCTGGACAGGAAGGAAGAAAATGGGAGAAAAGTGGCTGGCCAAGACATCAATGTGCAAAGCTTTCGACGGAACCTATGTTCATGGTGGCAGCAAGCTGAGCAAACTGTGCTCCGAACTCGAAATGAAACGTAAAGCTATCACCAACGAACTGTTGAGATATTGAAACTCGAAAACCTAAGCTCTTTGTGGAAGTAAGCGAAGTGACTTAGCTTTGAGCCTACCTCTTCTTGGTCCGGTTGTAGATGTTTGGATATGATGGTGGTTTATGCTTCGGCATGGTCATGTCTAGGCCAATCCCTGAACCGGTCTTGATTTGTTTAATCATGCCATAGTCGTGGAGGGAAGGCGAAGGCAAAAGCAAATTGGAAGCTTGTAAGTTCTGATGACAACGTTAAAAAAAAAAAAAAAAAAAGATTTGGAGGATTTCACTGTGAAGTACTGTCGATTTTGTCTTTTTAGGCAATTATATGAAAATTATATAAAAGTTTGCATTTTGGTCTCTATAGTTTTTAAAATTTTTATTTTGATCCATAATTCTATTTCTGACATGGTTTGGCTCCTGGGTGCTGAGACGACAGGGGAAAAAAAAGAGGAGAGAGAGAAATAGCGTCAACCAAGTTTGTTTCAGCCATTTGCCTGACGATATCTCATTTGATTTGTTTGTATCAGATAGAAGAGTTTGTCCATAGTAGTTTTAAGTCACCATATGATTAGAGAGAGTTTGTCAATAATAATTTCAAGTTATCATATGATTAGAGAAGGTAGGTTGAGAGTAAAAAAAGAAAAAAAAATGACTTAATTTTGTTTTTTATTTATTTTTAATATATATTAAAATAATTTTTAAGATTCAAAACGAGTTTATTAATCTTATTTCGATCAGAATTGAGTTTTTTAAGGCCTAAAACTAAACTAGTGATTTTTCGACAAAAGCAAACTTGAGTTTATGAGAAGTTGTAATTTTTTTTTTTTTTTTTTCGCAAGTTAGTCAGCTGCACAAGCTTGGAGAAGCAGGCTTGCACAAGGAGGCCCAAATGCATAGGGCTAGCTTGGTGCCCAGGCTTGCACAAGTAGGCCTAAGCGGGCAGGCCAGGCCTAGGTGCACAACGCCACACAAGTAGACCCAAGCTTGTAGGATTGGCCTTTTTTTTTTTTTTTCCCAACAATCTATTTTTAATTTTTTTAATTATGAAATTAGTCGTGAAAATTATGAAAAATCAATAATTATTTTTTTGTATAATTTGGAAATAATAAAAAATAAAAAATATGTTTTAATATTCTAGGATGATCATATATATTATTTGCTTCTTTTTTTTTGTATAATCAAAATTTATCTAAATCAATTTTGTAATAGTTATTGTTTCAATCAATTGAATTTAATATATTTATTACAACTTAAGTGATTTTTTAAAAATATTTTTTTATTTATATTATACACTCTGAATCTGTTTAATATGATTATAATGTGTGTGTGTGTAAAATTTTAATCATTTATTTTATTAAAAATTAATTATGTATCCGCACACATAATACTAATTATTTGTTATTTATTTTTTTCATGTTCTAAAAATAAAAATTTTCAAATAAAATACTTAAAATAATATTTTGAAAGAACTGTCCAATTATTCAAATACACTTTTTTATGCTAATATTACTTGATTGTTTTTTAATAAATATATATAATCAAATGTACATATTTTCAAAAAAATAATTTTCTCATAAACATTAAAGAAAAATAAAAAATTATTTTTTAATTTTTATATAATTTTTTATATCAATTTTGGTTTTATTTTTTCAATACAATCTTATGAAAAAATTATTAAAGCATTTTTTTAACTTTTAGATTATATTTTCTATTTAGCTTATTATAAGTTTTTATTTAAGAATCAACGCATAATTAAAAAAAAATGAGTTCTTTTAACTACTAAATTTATGAAAAAATAAAAAAAAAGAAATTAAATATAAAACGTTAATAAAAAAAATATAAAATTAAATGATTTTACTTGTTCAACTTCACCTGTACCGTAGCACAGACGGTTATTTGGTAAACCTCTCGTTGATGTGATGCACGTGCACTTACCTTAAGTTTGACTAATCAATTTGACCAAGTGGTAGCCAGGATTCAACGAAATTAGGACCGAGTCAAATCAAATGGGAAACCAAGATGACTTACAGTCGGGAAGAAACGCAAAATTCCAAGTGGGTGCAGACTAGATAATTAATCTGGTTGTCTCTTCAAGGTAATTTTGATAGCTCAATGACTTCAGATTTTGTTCTTAGTTGCAGTAATGCTCTTGTATTCATGTGTATTGCCTCGAATTTTAAACAGACATCTCGTTGCAGATTCATACGTGAGAGTATGAGAGTTGAGGAATATACAATTTGGAAGAAAAACAAAACTTTATTTGACGCATCTAGACCATGCATGAATTATACATGCTTATGTTTTTTTCTCAATCATTAAAAATAAGAAGATAATAAGTTATCTTCGAATTAGTTTTTACATCAACTGACCATTTTTATATTTTGGACTAGATTATCGGTGGATTTTGCTCAAGTTTTTTATCAATTCTAAAAATCAAACTCTTTGAGTTTACTAATAGTTTATTTTGATACAGTATAAAATACGGTTTATACATGCTTGTGTTAGCACGTGAAAATCTACTACAATATGTAATGCAAGATCCATGCCTTGACACTGAATAAGAATCGTATTCCGAAAAGTTCTTACAGTAACTTTGGTGGGAAACTAAAAACATGATGTTCTGCTGACATCTTGAAAGGTGAAATCCTACGCTTAGTAGCTGCTTCAGTTAGTGCAGTAACTTATGAAACCAGTATGATTTCTAATGTGTTCTCAGTATCGGACTCCAAGGGTGCCATTACGCTAAAGAACAGACGAAGAGAGCTATAGCTCATTATAGCCTCGTAATAAGCTTAGCATTATTATCAGCTGCTAACCTGAACGAGAAGCAGAATTCTGCCTGACGACAACAAAGAGCATAACCAAGCTTCCAGCTTTTCAAAAAATGCGAACTCATCGAGTTTGACGGTTACTAGACAACGATAGAGTAAACTAAAATATGAGCTGGAACATGTAAGGATCCACGGAATTTTCGTTTCCTTCTACGCCTTTAGCAACGAGAGAGGGAGAAGACATGAAACAGATTCATCACACGCAAAAGAATGATATAGAACGCTTCCATTTCTGAATATCAAGGAGTGAAAATGATGAGAATAGTTTGGACACAGTAACAAATCTTGTGGAAGCACCAATATAAAGGAATATTATATTGCTATTTCATAACATATATGAACAAATACAACTTTTTCTTGCTTCCGCTTCTTATTCTCAACACAACCCTATGTACAACTCTACTTGGCTATTTTGTTCTACCGAGGAAGTTATTACAAGAAATAAGGGATCAGCAATGATGCGGGAGCTGGGGGTCTTAGTTTTATTTAACAATAAGTGCTTAGCTTTCAGCCACACCTATTTGCTAACTCGTTTCTTCCATTACTGCGTAGGAGTATTTCACTTCTACTTTCTTTTTACCTTTTCCTGAATTAGTTGATAGTTATTGCCTCTTGGAAACATCACACTCTTCAGTATTGCCTCTTGGAAACATCGCCTTCTTCCGTCTTTGCAAACCTTCCTCGGATCCTTGGTTGACTGTCTGCAAGAGCCTTCCTGCAAGCATACTGAAACAAACATACCGTGAGTTGAATCTAGTATGTGAAATTCAGTAAAAATAAAATGCAAGAACCGATACATCTCGTAAAGTAAAAGATCCAAGGGAGTTATTATATTTTTGATGTTCATTATTCTCTCTTTTATACTTTCTCTACTCTTTTGCTTTTAAAGCAGATGCAAACTGAGATTTCAAGAATCTAAATTTAGGGAAGTCGGAATAATAAATCTACAACACGTCAACAATACTATTTAATTATTTACCTTAATCTTCCTGCCAAAGTTCCTCTTTGTCTTCTTATTCCTGTATCTTGAAAGCTTTTCACGGCGGTCCTCGGCAGAGCAATTGTTGATAATCAATGGTCGGTCAAGAGGAGAATGGATGAGGCTCATGTTACCATTAGCAAGAGTCTGTCATAAAAACCCAGTATCAATGACTCAGCCCCATCCTGTGGAAATGGCCAGAAGCATCTATACAGTTCTCAGTCCGTAGACTTCGTTACAGAACATATTCATGCTTGGTGCTGAATTGCATAAAAATGTTCCAATAGAATCTGGTGGATTGTGCAAGAGAATTGATAAAGGAAAATAGAATTAAAACTGAAAATAAAAGTTACAGATTCTGTTTTTTAAGTAGCGGATACAGTCTTTCTTCATCTACAGTCTCCATTTTAAATGGGAAGAAAATTAATTGGATTCTTGATAAAGGCAGGAGGCAGGTGTCAGTTATCTGTACAACTGAAAGGGCTACCAAGGGCAGTAACATCATGGAAAAATACTTAAATGTTCCACACAAAGAAAAGCAGTGGGTTCCATCCTGGATGAAACAGATGCCCTTTCTATAGTACTTCAAGTGAATCATGGCAGTGACTTGACACACAAAAATATCACAACTTGTGACTAAATTTTTCAGAAACATAAAAAAAAGGAAAAAAAAAAAAACCACATGCACACTGAGAACCCTTGTGCACCTAAATAATGGAGTTAACTGCCAAGATATTGATTCTTATTAGGTAGAGGTCCATGCCCTCCGCCACATCTAAGGGGCATCTAAGCAGAAGGGAAAAAATCATTCAAAAGTGCTAATCAAATACACACAGATATGATAACAGATTCGATCTAACCTTTATGTCTCCTTCGCTGTAGGCTCTTCGCATCCCATAAGCATTTTCAAAATCAATTCCTGGAAAATCCAGAAAACTTGGCTTCACTGCAGCACCATGCACCCACTCCATTGAACTCAAACATCCTGAGCTGACACTTTTTGATAGTGCAGCATCAGGGAGCAATTTGTTCTCTTGAATGTGGTTTTCATCGGTCCTCACAATAGGAATCTTGATATCCAGAAGCTCTGCAAGTGATGGCGTTTCCATTGCTGATTTTTCCAGAAGGTCCTTCTTGCATTCATAGAAAACCTCATTCAATAGCTGCTCATTTCGAATTGATTCAATATCTGCCGCCTTTAGTCCCTGTGAAGTGATGACTTCTTGCCCACAGGTGATCATGGAAATGGCTGCCGTCATGGGATCAATGCCCACAAGTGGCTCTTCAATGATAGGTTCAGGAGCTTTGAACAGATCTCCTTCATCTCCTAGATCATATTCTGATATGGTGGTCTGGAGTAGGTTACTCTGCATTAGACAAGGTAGTCACCAACAAATAAGATGACGTAAGAAAATTAGGTAAGAAATAAATACTGATCTAAACACTTCACCAATTATGTTAGCCTCCGTCTTAAGGGATTCTTAAATAGGTTGAAAATAAAATCTTGTTATATTATAACTCAATCTGGTAAAAGTGCTGAGTTGAGAACACGTTTATACAGCAGCAATAAGCATGCACAAACACATAGACACGGTGCTGATTTGAAAACACGTTTAAAAGAATGCTAAAGTGATAGATCACTTTATCGATTCTCAAAAACCATCTAATAATGAACAATTCAATCTTTTCTGAGATTTGTCAATTATTGAATTTTGATAATAGTTTTTTTTTTTTTTTTTTTTGGTAGTATCTTTGAATGCTTAGCTTTTTGCCTTTGTTTAAGGACCATTCCTGTTTCAGTTGCTTTTTGTTGAATGAAAATTTCGTTTCGATAATGTTCTTGCTGCATGTATTGTTTTAGTCTGTGATGCAGAAGCTGACAAGCTCTTTTAAATTTGTCGAGATTAAACCACTCTGCCAAATTGAGACTCCATTGAGAGAATGGGCAAACTGAGAGACAAATCCAAAAATCCTATATTTAGTGTTCAAGAATTCCTCCAAAGAAAAGGGCAAAAGAAGAGTCCTCGTGTAGCTTGTTAAGACCAAATTTTCAAGACAGATGAAGTGATTTCTTTATGAGAAGAACAGTACACAGCTCATCCCAAGTAAAGATTCTTTAATGACTAAAACACCTATGAGTCCATGACTCACAATTTTAGTTGCATAAAAATCAACCACTTTTAGCCAAAGCAAAATCTAATGAAACTCTTTCAAGACTAATTTTCTTTTCACCTCCATTACCAAGTTTAGTATCAACACCCAAAGAGAAAGAAAAAGGAAGCAAACACCCCGATAAAATAGAGGTGGAGAATACTCTCTTTTCAACTTTCCCAACTTTTTTTCCGTTCTTTATGCCAAAACAATAAAAGAAGACTTTTTCTCTCTTTTACCTCTCTAGTTAGTGGATTGAAAAGCCAATAAATATCCAACTATTGGTTCAACTTCACACAATTGGAGCTAGAAAATGGAAGAGAGCTTAAAGAACACGGAATTTGAAACTGTTAAATCATTTTCCTTTTGTAGTCTTTCTTTTACTTTATGTGCTAGATCCAGTATGTAAAGAGAACACTTACTGTTTCCATTTTAGCTCTATTTGGTTGCTTACCAAATGTTGAGAACAAAAACTAAAGGCATTCATACTGGGGTAAATAAGCACAAACCCACTAGCATAAAAGACAAAGCCCCAGGAAAAAAAAAAAATCAATCTTTTCCTCCACTTTCTCAACAACCAAACAGAGGAGTGAGAAACACAAACAGCAAGAACACAGAATCCACAGAAAAAATTCAAGCCCTCAAGATCAAAACTTTGAACTTTCAATATGGAATATCACAAAGAGACAAGAAAAATGTCAACTTTGAATTGGATTTCCACAGAAAAAGACAGATATTTCCTGTCGTTGTACCCCATTTTCTCAGAAACCAAACAGAGCAGGTTAGAGTAGAAACCAAACACCAAATCGAAGCAAACAAAAACTAAAGCTCCAAACTCTAGAACAAACAAAACCCAGTTCAAAACGCATCAAATGAATGCAGATCACTCAAATAAACAAAGAGAAAAAAGCCAAAACACAGTCAAAAAGGCATATAAGCACAAGCAAACAAAACATAAAACAAAGAGAAAATAGTATACCATGGAAGCATTGGTCTTTTGATACTTGCAATACTCTTCAAGCTGTTGAATATCTTGAGAGAAATTCTGCATATAGGGAAACAATAACCCAGTCTCTGCATACATTTTTGTTTAAAACTGCAGTCACTCTGTTTTTCCAAATCAGAAACAGAGCAAGAGAGTGAGATCACCTATTGCAAAACAGAACAAAAACAGAGTAACCCAACACTAGCTAGCTTAGTACTACTGAAAAGCAGAGCAGCCAAAATGCAACATATAGGGAGAGATTGGTCCGGTTTTGGCCTTTGATTTGGGACTTAGAAAGAAAGGGAATTTATATATATAATAATCATAGGGATGGGAGAATTAATAATTTATTTCTTTAAAAGAAATCAAAATAGATGATGTAATATATTAGGTTTAATAATAAAGACAAGTTGTAAAAGGACATGATGAGACTATATCTGTCCCCATCTCTCCTATCATGCACTTTATTTTTTTCATTTATTTTTATTACCATAATAAAATATATTTATTCTGAAGGCTTCGTCTTTTTCATTATTATTAATATATTTTTTAAAAGAAGATGGTATATTTCAATATCCTATTTGTATACTTTTTTTAAACTTACATATATATTCAAAATTTTTAATAAAATTAATCCATTAATATTTAAATCCGTAATCTCTTAAAAAAATCTATTCAACACAAACATCTAAAAATTCTAATAAAATTAATATGTTAAAATTTAAATTTATGACTTTTTATAAGAGATTATTATAACTAGATTATAATTTTTTTATTATTAATATAATTTTTAATATAATTTAATTCTTCTAAATATTTGTAAATATATAAAAAAAAACAATATTTTCTATCTAATAAGATATATGATCAGTCTATTTGTACGTTGTACTCGAAAAATATACATACTTGATTTAAGTAGAATTTTAGTTTTTTTTCTTAGTTCTAGAAGAGGAAGTATTGTATTTATGTATTATTATAATGCAAATTGAACAGGTGAATGGGTGCCCTACCAAATTGAATGCACCAAGCCAAAATCTGTGTCTTTGTGGGCATAGACAGTGCTCAGCACTTATCGTCAGTCTATCCCATGTCAGAGATGGCTCCACGCGCTTTCTTTGCCTCATGCAGATTCTTTTATACTTATTTCTTTTCATTTATTGAGACTAAATTAGCTATATTGTTATCTGGGACAGTCGGTTTGAGAAATATATATATATATATAAAAATCTAATCATTTAAGTGATTAGTTTTGATTCCGAGTACTTACATATAAAAAAATTTAGATAAATGTACATACGATGTATATTGAATCAAATAACAACAAATTAATCTGAATTTTTAAACTTAAAATATCTTAAAAATTCAAAAAAAAAAATAGTAATATCGTCAAGGGAATATGATTTTTCATGCTAACAATGAGGGTTCAAAATTTAAAAGGAAGAATTTTTTTTTCTTAATATGTGCAAACTAACTTCAAAATATCTGCGGCATAAAAGATAAAAATAATTGAATCTTTTTAATATGTGCAAACTAACTTCAAAATATCTGCAACATAAAAGATAAAAATAATTGAATCAGAAAATATATTTAATTTGGATGTGAAAACATTGAACCAAAAATTATATTGAAGCAATGATAAATAATTTTGGCAAAACCTACTAATTGCCCCTCGTATTTTCATATCTCTATTAAATAAGTCTGTGTGCTTTAATTAAGGTAATTCAACACGCGCGTTTCCAAATTTGATTAATTTTAGTATGAATTTTCAAATTCAATGATTTTAATACATAGCCCAGAAATATTATTTTTTAGATTATGGGACCCATTTGCGGCCAATTAGGAGTGGCCACGTCAGCCATGATCAATTTCGTACTTAATTGATCGAAATTGAACGCACAAGTATTGAATTGACTTAATTGAAAACATATGGACTTATTTAATGGATTTGGGAAGATACAAGATGCAATTAGTGGGTTTTGCCAGTAATTTTGCCCATAATTAGTACTAGTATTCATGCTTTGTTTTGACAAAAACTTATTGCTTGTGATTAACACTAAGAGGAGTAGATTGAACAAGTTAATTAATTAATTTTTTTTTATCAATAGGCTTTTAGTATAATGATAGTGAACTTCCTAAACTTGCAAAAAATTACGGATTCAAATCTTTTTTTAGAGTATTTGAGTTTAAAAATAAAACTTCATTACAAGTAAAGGCAAGGAGAGTAGCCTCTCATCTGTCTCGCTAACTACTAACGTTAATTCTTTAACTTCTAACACCCTGAATAAACTACAGGATTTCTATTTATAACAAATAATAACAATGATTTAATTTTTTTAAAAGATTCTTTTCTTATGTCGTACAGATAATTTTATGCAGAATATAGCTTTAAATCTAACTTGTTCCTAGAAGGTCCTCACAATGTTGAAGCAAGCTTCGAACTTGCTAAAGATGTTTTTGCAGCATGTAATGAAGCTTAGGGCTCTTGTTGAATTAAAAAGGAACTTTTAAAAAGAAGTGGGAAACGGTGAAAAGTTGAAGTGTGGGGTTTGGAACTTTTCCTTGGCTTGATTTATCTAATGACTAGACCTATGCTTTTGTAATATTGTGCCCTCTTTTTTCTGTCTTAGGATGAGGAAAATCATTTTGTATGATTATTGTGTTGCAAGTTGTGTTCTCACATAGCCATAAATCAATGGATTTTTTTTTTTTTGTCAGATCTTAGCCTGATTTTGAGTGCATGTTGGTGGCCAAGCGACATCCATGGTCTTGTCGGATTTGAAGGACGAAGAAGGATGATGGGTTGATAGATATTTTCAAGACATAATTTTGGTTTTATCTCTCTTTTTTTTTTCACATTTAAGGTATTTTCTCAGTGATTTTTTTTTTTTTAATTTCAATCAAGTTTTAGATAGATTGAATTTCTCTCTCGTTGTTAGAGAGATAATAGTTGAAATATTTTTTTTTCTCAGGAGTTTTTTCGTATCTACTTTTGAATTAGATTTGATTTTGAAAGGCTTTTGGGTTTTTAGTTTTTCCTCATAATAATTTATTTCCTTACTTTTTTTTTTGGGTCTAAGGATGAGGAAATTCAATTTGTATGACTATTATACACCAAGTTGTGTTCTTCAATAGCCTCATCAATGGATTATTATTTATTTTTTTGTATTCTTTGGTTGAAATCTTAGCCTGATTATCAGTGTTGGTGACATTCATGGTCTTGTCGGATTTGAAGGAGGATGTTGATATATATTTTTAAGACATAATTTTTGTTGTCTCTCTCTCTCTTCTTTTTTTTTTTCACATTTAAGGTATTTTCTTAGTGATTTTTTTTTTCAATCAAGTTTTAGAGAGATTGAATTTCTCTCGTTATTAGAGAGATATATTTGAAAACTATCTACCTTTGAGGTAGATTTAATTTTGAAAGGCTTTTGCGTTTTTAGTTTTTCCTCTAAATAATTTATTTCCTTATTTTTTTAGTGGACAACAATGGTTGAAAGGAAAGTTTTGGATCAGTTGTGGTTTCTGGTTAGGATTTGTGTATCGTTTTGGTGTTTACGGGTTGTGGCATGTTTGGGTGGTGGTTGTTTTTTGGTTTTGCGGTGGTTGGAACTCTTGCTCGAGGTCCGGTGAGCGATGGTGTTCGCAGACAAAGGCGGCGCGTGTACATGCAATGAAGGGGAAGTTTTCTAAATATCATTTTAGTGCTTTAAATTTAGGCTTGTCTTCATCTTAGTCCCCCAATTTTCGGTGTTCAGATTTACTGATCTCTAGTATCAAATCAAGTCTAGCAAGCTCTGACAAGAGCTGTGAGAATCCCTCGTCTCTTTGTCTCCTACTGAGTGGGGTTAACTTAGTGGGAATGGGTTAATTTAGTTGGACTTGATTGGTGTGCTTTGGTATCTTTCATCTTTAGTCTCGGATCTTTTTTCTTATTGCTGTGTTCTTTGTACTAGATTCTTAAATTATTGTATTCACGTTGTCTGTAGTGAAATTTTGATTTTTTAATATTTATAAATAATTGAGTATCATCGGATAAATGTTTGTAACAATCAAAACTAAATTCACTGTTCTTCGACTTAGCCAGTGTCAAGATGTACATAATCTTTGGTCGGTCGTTCATTTTTTTTAGACTAAAACAATTCAAATTTAGTATTACTAGAAGATAATATCTCAAAAGAATATTTTTTTTATCCAAATATAATTTTAATAAAATCAAATATATATGTACTTTTCAAATAGCAAGTACCAAACGAATCTAAAATTTATTGAAGTCATGGATAGAAATATGATTTGGAGTTTTCGAACTTTATTTATTTATTTATTTTTTCCATAGAATGAAAAGGTAGCCAGACATCTATTTCCCTCCTTGTATTAGCTCGAAAAAGCTCTCTTGTCTTTAATTTAGAATGAATCCGTCTTAAAAATCTTGAATCACAAGGCACAGTTCTTTTACTGAAGTCCCACTAAAAGCAAGGTGTTGCTAGTTTTAGTTGAAATTCTTGTTAATTAAAAAAGTTGGGTTGGAATTAACAAGTTGTTAGTCTAGTGGTAAGCGAATCGGTTTCGGACGAATTTTTTTATCAATATATATGATTCGAATTCTAAAATTATATTTATTTGAAGGAGTTAAATCTTATTATTTTCGCTTTCAAGAGAATTAATTCTATTTTTAATGTTGAAATAAAAATATCTAGGAAAAAAATAAAGTTGGGTTGGCCTTTTGTTTTTTTATTTTGGATTAGACTAATGGGCTCAGGTACTCGATTTCAAACCTGTCAATTTGCAAGGAAAACGAATATATCATTAAACTAAACGCTCATTAGTGCTTCAAACTGTTTACTTCATCTCTCTTAACTAAATGTTAATTTTTCAATCGTCACTTTGAACTGTAATACACCATGCAATAATACGCAATCCTTTTTTCCTTCCTAAATTTTTAATCTCAAATTTAAACTTAAAAAGAGATAGTAAAAAAAAAAATTAATTTCTATAGTGCTTTTGTCTTTCTGGACAAAATCGTAATGGAAAATGCTTTGGTATAACATGGTGATGAATTTGTACACAAATAAATAATGTATTTCTAATTTAATAAAAAAATA